CTTATGTCAAAATACGTCGTAGTATGTCATCTCATAGTTGGGGCATCACCAAATTTGGAGAGCCACGTGATGGCCCCGGCGCGTCTTGGGCTTGGGTGGACGCGGTTCACCCGTTATCGCGCCCCTCCCAAATCTTGCCCACAACTCAATATCTTGCTTAACTAACAGGGTTCTTGAATTTCTCGGCGCGTTGCTCCCTCAGGGAAGCCGCTGGCAAGATGGGAAAACTCATTCGTTTGGAGCTTTTCAGTATGTGCGACCAGAAAACACGCCGGAGCCAGTAGCTAACTTTGTCACTAGACTTCAAGTCCTACAAGGGACATCATGTCCTCCTATTCGGAGATGCGTATTTCACGTCGATTATTGGGCCAAACGGGTCTGGCAAATCAAACTCGTGAGTGCCTCCTAGTCCAAGTCCAGGTCCAAAGAGTCTTAGGCTAATGCGCTTTAGGATGGATGCCATATCTTTCGTTCTAGGAATCAAGTCTTCTCACCTACGATCAACCAATCTCCGTGATCTCGTGTACCGTGGGCGTGTTTTGCGCACATCTAAAGTGGATGGAGAGCCTGCTGCTGATGAACAGGATGGCGAGCAAGAGGAGGAGCCGGAGAGCATGGATGTCTCCCAAGATGCCAGTGGAAACGACCCGAAGTCCGCCTGGGTGATGGCAGTCTATGAGGATGATGCAGGCGAGGAGCAGCAATGGCGCCGATCTATCACCAGCCAGGGTGTTAGCGAATACCGCATCAACAACCGAATCGTGTCCGCCCACCAATACAACGAGGCCTTGGAGGAGGAGAACATCCTGATCAAGGCGCGAAACTTCCTCGTGTTCCAGGGTGATGTCGAGGCGATCGCATCCCAGTCCCCCAAAGACCTTACTCGCTTGATTGAGCAGATCTCTGGCAGTCTGGAGCACAAGGCCGACTATGAAAAGTTCAAGGCAGAGGCGGAAGAGGCCGCGGAACAGCAAACCGTCCAGCTCAACCGTCGACGAGGCATCAATTCCGAAGTCAAGCAATACCAGGAACAGAAGCGAGAGGCTGAGAACTATGCGAAAAAGGCCGAAGAACGTGACCAGGCCATTATCACTCATATCTTGTGGAAGTTGTTTCACTTCCAGCGGCTGATCGACGACTCCAGTGCGGATATCCAGAAATACCAAGACGAACTCAAGGAGTATCGCCGCGGTGTGGAGAAATATGAGCAGAACGTCGAGGACGCCAAGAAAGACCATGCTCGAGTCGGCAGAGATGTGGGCAAGGCCGAGAAAAACATCACCAAAAAGGAGAGGGAGATTGAAGAACTCAACAACTCGCTTGTGCCCGTGGATGAGAAGATTGATATCACCCAGAAGAAGGTTGAGAGATACTCTTCGAAAATTATTGAGATCGAAAAGGAGCGCGCATCACAATCCAACAATGGCAAGCAACTAGAAAAGGATCTCAAGCTTGTCGAAAAAGCTCAGGCTCAATGGGAAGTCGAATGGCAGAAGACGATGAGCAAGAAGGGTGGCCAGCTGAGCGAAGCGGATCAGCAGGAGTACCACAAGCTCAGAGAAGAAGTCAACCGACGTTCATCAGCGGACTCCTTGAACCTTGACAACCTACGACGGCAAAGAAAGACCGAAGCTGAAGCGGTCAACAGCTTGAAGGGCAAGTTTGAGAACACTGAATGGCAACTTAAATCTGTTGAATCCGACGCCCAGAACATGAACGAACGCAAGTCGTCCCTCAATGACACCGTGAAGTCGACCTCCAAAGAAATCGACCGTAAGAAGAAGGAGCTGAACGCATTGACTTCCGAGCGTTTGAAAGTCTCGCAAATGCGGACCGAACTAGAGGAAAAGCTTCAGGTCGTGCTAAAGAAACTCCTCGAGGCGGATGATGGCAAGAAGCAGACCGAACGCGAACTCCGGGCCAAGGAGTTGATCTCAGCGTTAAAGCGCATCTTCCCCGGTGTCAAAGGCCGTGTCAGTGATCTTTGCCGCCCGAAGCAGAAGAAATACTCCGATGCAGTCAGCACCGTACTGGGTCGACACTTCGATGCCATTGTTGTAGACAACGAGAAGACTGCAAAGGAGTGCATTCAGCACCTACGCGACCAACGAGCAGGTCAAGCCACGTTCATTCCGCTAGAAACCATTCAAGTCAAGGCGTTCAACTCAAACCTGAAGGGCATGCATCGGGGCATGCGCCCTGCTATTGAGACTGTTGACTATGATGATTCTGTTGCGCGAGCAATCAGCTATGCGTGCGGCAACTCTATTGTTTGTGATGATTTGGCGACGGCCAAGTATCTTTGCTACGAACGAAATGTGGATGCGAAGGCTGTCACCCTCGATGGAACCGTCATTCACAAGGGTGGTCTCATGACTGGTGGACGTGGTCCTCAACAGAACTCCAAGCGCTGGGAAGATTCCGAGGTTGAGAATCTGTATAAATTAAAGGAGAAGCTCATGAGCGATCTTGCCAACCTCCCCAAGAGTCACCGCCGAGGCTCTGAAGAAGAGACACTGCAGGGCGAGCTCGTCGGTCTGGAGCAGCGCCTTACTTACTCCCGTGATGAGTTGAAGGCCCTTGAGAGGAACCTGGAGAGCAAACGTAGCGAGCTAGACTTCGTTAAGCGCCAGATGGAAGAACTGCGACCCAAATACACCGAGCGCAAGGAAAACCTTGACGAGCTAGACGACACAATCGAAACGTCACAAGCTTCAGTCAGCACTGTTGAGGATGAGATCTACCGCAAGTTCTGCAAGCGCTTAGGGTACGATGACATCCGAGAATACGAGGCCCAGCAGGGCTCTATGCAGGAAGAGGCCGCGCAAAAGAAGCTCGAGTTCACCACCCAAAAGAGCCGAATCGAGAACCAGCTCAGCTTTGAGAAACAACGTATCCAAGCAACCGACGACCGAATCAACGGCCTCAAGGCCCAATACGACCGCGACCAGGGCCTAATTGAAGAGCTGCAAAGTCAGCAAGAAGAAATCCGCAACCAGCTCGACGAATTCGAAGCGGAACTTGAGCTCCTTCGAGAGGCACTCGAGAAGCAGAAGGAAATCTATAGCCAGTCAGCAGAAAACTTGGCAGAGCAGCGCCGTGAACTCCAGAGGCGTAGCAAGCACGTTGAAGCAGCGTTGAAGAATGTCAATGCGCTTGAAGCAGAGATTCAGAGAAACTCTTCCAGTCGTTACGCTCTTCTGCGCCGGTGCAAGCTTGAAGACATTGATGTTCCTTTAACCGAGTCTTCCAATTCCCTTGACAAGCTTCCGATTGATGATCTTGTGCAAGCAGCAGACCCGGATGCTATGGAGGTGGATGAAGGAGATGGGTTGGATGAGGCTCCTCCGGTCCACGATTACGGCATTGAGATCGACTTCGATTCTCTAGGAGAGACCCTGAAAGAGGTTAGTGTTTGCTTCTATCATTTCATTTCTCACATACTAATTCAATTACAGGAGGCCGACGACAAGCTCGAGGATGAACTGCTCGAGAAGGTCCGTGCTCTCAACAGCGACCTGGACAAGATGGCACCGAATGCTCGCGCAATGGAGCGCCTGGAGAGTGTCGAGAACAAACTTCGCAGCACCGAAAAGGACTTCGAGGATGCCCGGAAGTCTGCACGAAAGGCCAAGGAAGACTTTGAGTCCGTGATGAAGACGCGATCCGACCTCTTCAACAAGGCGTTCACCCACATTTCTGAACAGATCGGGCCGATTTACCGTGAACTCACGCGCAGCGCCAACTACCCCCTGGGTGGTCAAGCGTAGGTTTCTTCCTCAACTCCCGACTCTGAACATGACTAACATTTCAAAAGCTACCTCGATATTGAGGACTCGGACGAGCCCTACCTGGACGGAATTAAATACCACGCCATGCCTCCTCTCAAACGTTTCCGAGATATGGAGCATCTTTCAGGTGGCGAGAAGACCATGGCCGCACTCGCCTTGCTGTTCGCTATCCATTCGTACCAGCCGTCTCCATTCTTCGTGCTAGACGAGGTTGATGCAGCCCTGGACAACACCAACGTCGCCCGTATTGCCAACTATATCCACGATCACGCCGCGCCTGGCATGCAGTTCATCGTGATTAGTCTGAAAACCGGACTGTTCCAGAACAGTGAGGCCTTGGTCGGTATCTACAGGGACCAGGTCGAGAACAGCAGCAAGTCGCTGACGCTTGATGTGAGTTTCGAAGATGTGTTTCATATAAATCGGTATGGAATTATACTGACAATGATCATTCACAGCTTCGGAAGTACACCTAAATCCTCCAGGTGGGATTTAGGCGGATTGTGTGATAACCCTTTGCTCTTGCTTTGCTTCCTATTTCTTCATCTTTGTAGATTATTGAAACTACCCAGTGCCTATTCTGGGCAATTATTTCTATCGACAAGGCTGTTAATTGATACCAGTTTCTGTGCTGTGTTTTTCAAGTTGTTCCACCACTCCTCATAAGTCGAAACTCTCCGTTTCCGACCAACTCATGCCGACTGTTCATACTTTGTACGGGCTTTTAGAGTATCTCGCGAAAGTAGATGTGAAAAAATATTCAATTAGGTTCATCTCGCTAGATAGATGTATTGAGGCCGCCATGTTGAAAAACCCCCTCGATAATGCATCACTTCATGGCAAAAGATAAAGGAAACGCCTCGTGAAAAAGATAGCAAAGACACCGTCCGCCTGTAAACCCCGACCCAGCCGACTTCATGTTCTTTTCAATGCACATTTGTGACAAAGGATTCAAGAACCCGACTTCCACCGTGCAGAAGGCCTGGCACTTGTTGAAAGTACCAGTATGGGATGAGACACATCAAAGTCTCAAGAGAAGAAACAAGAGAAACAGAAGAAAAATCGTGAACCATGAACCGTGAACCATGAACCAGACCGTGAACCGAAAAGACTATCATCCGTAAGAGACTTGCGACCTATTGGAAGTAATCACCATTAGCGATAGGTAGGTAGGTAGTCATCGAGGCCGGATAATTCAGATACTTACTGCTACTCTGTAGCCGTCTGTCCAGCAACCTCGGTCTCCATCGCAGGCTTGATCCTAGGAGTGAGCTTGGTGCCAGAAACGCCCTTGGCTAGAAGGGCAGCCTTGGCTTGAGGATTAGACTTGGCCTGGGTAGCGTTCTTGACCCCAGCAGCAGGCTTAACCTGACGAGCAGTCTTGGCCTGAGCAGTACTCTTTATTCCCGCAGCTACCTTAGCCAGAAAAGCAGCCTTCGATTGGGGGGTAATCTTGGCCTTTGCTCCAGTGGCCTCTGTAATATGCTTGGTCTGGGAGGTTGTAGTAGTATCAACCTGAGTTGCTGTCTCAGCCTGGGCAGCGGTCTCATGCTCAGTGACAGGCTCGGCTTCAGTAGGCGTCTTTTCCTCGCTGACCTCAGTGGGAGGATCCTCGGGGGGTGACTCGAGGTACGCACCAGAGGCAGGAGCAGCGTTGAGAGTGACATCAAGAGAAACCTTTGATCCATTGGTCGTCTCGGTGGCAGAGTCAATCGGACATGGGCTACCGTGTTCGCCCTCCTCAAGTGGCTCAGGGATCTGGTTAGGGATGCTGATGAGAAGGTTGTTGATAGCGTCTGCGTTTTTGCGAATGTGGACCGCATGCTTTCTCTTTTCTTTGATCTTGAAGTCGCAGGGAACCAGACGTTCGTCAGGCTCTTGCTCGCGGTGGTATTCGTAAAGTCGGACTTTGAGACCACGGAAGAGAATAGCCCAGCATCGTTCATTTGGAAGCGGGGCACTGAGCAAACGGGGAATGGATTGATCCCAGTTTTCTTTGATTGAGCCAGTGGCGTCGAGAATAACCTTCACGATGGCGTGCAGGGACCTTTCTTCGCCAACCGCTCTCACAATGAAGCAGTTAGAGTGGTTGTTCTCCTCGTCTTCTTGCCACTTAAGGACCCAGCCATCATTCGAATCGAAGGCGTAAGTGAGAAGACCGCTCACCATGATCTTGACATTCTCCGCGGTTGGGTTATCCTGGTAGGCGTTAAGGAATTCCGCAATAGCGGGAAGCGAGAGATAGTTCGTGGTGGTCTCCATGGCGAAGCAGGAGGAAAGAGCTGGTGGTAAAATAAAATTGAGCAATGGACTTGGTGGAAGAGGAAGGAAATGACAAGGGGGAAGTAACAGGAAAGAAGTGACGAGGTGTAATTGCTTGAAATGTTGAGATCGCAAAATAGGTCAGCAAATATAGAAGCAAACAATTTGTATAGTAGGCTTCTACCTAAATGCCTCATATAGTGTGACCTTGTGGGAAATACTTACAAAGGCAAACATGTGTCCACAGATTCCCGTCACTGGGTATACATGTGTAGTTACATGTGTATGTGTGTAGATCCATGTGGAATTTCTACAATGTGTGCCTCAAGTAACGTGAAAGTGCGAGTTAAATGAAAAATTGACATAAAGATATGTATAAAACTGTGGTGTTAGCGCTAGATTCTTTGCCTGTCAAAGTCTATATGTATGGCCTGAACATATGTCTCTGCATATCTGTCTGCAGCAATGCTAGGACACGAGCAAATTGGAAAAGCAAAAGGATCAAAAGGAATATGCCGGGGAAAATATGTTGGGACATATATAATCTTTTCTAAGATGGTCATTACTAGAGTCCCATTATTAGAGTGCTTCTACCTCTAGACCCATAAATATCTGCCTATACTAACCCGAAAGTGCGAGCAAAATAAAAAAACAGACGTCAAATTTCATCTCTATTATCGTGAGATCTAGAGTAAAGTGAGAAGGGCGTAGGAATATGCGCCTATATGAACACTATGATGGGCCTGGGTGCCGCATTTATGAGCAAGTTGAGTCTAAGTACAACACACTTCAGCACCAGCTGATACTCGTACTAGAAGGGTTATGGGTTTAACACTCCAGTATTCAATGCTGAAATGGACATGGCCCTACTCAGCCGAGGCTAGGTTGGGAATGTCATCGTTGGCATGAGTGACCCGATAGAGCCTGGTTGTCTCGGGGCTCGCTGCTTCCAAATTTTCCTTTGTATACGATGCATAGATCAGGTTGCTGATCTGCGGTTCTCCGAGAGTGTACAATCTAATACGATTCTATGTAACGAACAGCTAGCAGGCTAGCATTGATGCCATCGATGCGCCTAGACTGGACCATGTTTTAATCCAAGTCAAAGATAGACATTTAATGGATGGAAAGAGGGTAGATGACTGTGCAATTGAAGCGGGGGAACTCTCATACCTGTGGCCCGTGACTGTTAGTGCATATTCCAGATACTGGCTGACATGCCGTCAAGAAGTGACTTGATAATGTCGCCAGAGTATTGCTGGAAAACATGTGATGGACGATGGTTCAACGAGGAGAGATTGATTCTGGTGCTTGGGTGTGTCTCTTAATAGCACATCCATGTCTCCTAGATAATAGGCTGGAAGATTACCTTTAGGATAAAAAGCATCAATTGCAGATGATCGTATCCCATCAAGGCCATGAAACCTCATCAAATTCTGCGGGCCAGGGCTACCTCTCTCACGAAATAACCTCGAGCCGGAAGAATCGCCAGTCCCAGTCTATGAGCTTGGCGGTTCGTGGGCAGCGTAGGCAGCAAGCGAGAGCAAATCCTTCGCCGGAAAAACCAATAGTGGTGTAACCTGGACGAATGACCTCAGTCATGGTGATTTGGTTCGAACCAACCCTGACCAAACAATGACCATCGATCCATGCAACCTGTAACTCCTCTACTAGGGACGAGACCCGAACGCCGGTGGCAACTACAATACCCTACAGTGGAGACCAGGTCTTCTCACTCTGAAAAAGTAAATTAATATTTTGGAAGTAAAGGGGAAGATATGCAGTAGTGAAGATGAAACTGTCAGAGTTGAGATAATGAGGCGAGAGGGCTCAGGCGGCGGGTAAAGATGGAACTTGCCAGACCGGTTACATTACTATTTACTACCTCGAGTTACGAAAAGACACTATTAGAGTCGAAAAAGAACAAAGAAATCATTAGCGGGGAAGAAGAACTGCAAGCAATGTGAAGTATAGATATATAGCTTGGAATATATATCTGGGCAAACGATGTTCAGACACGATGCATTCGGTTCACAAAGAGTATATCTGCTACGTCTGCAGTCGAACTCGATTAAATAGCCCCTAAGACTAGATAGAGAGTGACTAATTGACTAAATAGCTATGAATCGGATGAGGATTCAAGCGCTAGGTAAAGCGGAGTTATTTGGTATGGGCCTAAAGTATAACCTTATCGCGCCATAACCCACCCGTGGACAAGTCTGGCTGACAACTCGGAGCCGATCAAGATACGGGACCATCAAGGCACGTGCACAGGACACGGACTACCGTGGATCATGGCAACCCGTTCGCCCGGATAAGAACACAGTCGGAATCAAGCTCCCAATGGAATTTTCGTAGTTGCTGCGGTACCAAGCAGTGACCAAGATAGCGACGAGATCCAGATCGAGAATCTGCCTTCTTCGGAAGAAGGATACGTTGTAGGCTGGCCCGGATTCTTGGGGTGGGTTTGCAACAATTACCAAGACGGGGGCTTCGGCTGGGGCTCAGACTTGGCCCAGACTTGGCCCAGCACCCTGTTACAAGGAACTTATCACAGGTTCCTGATTCTGCGGCCCCGTCGCTTATTGCGCGTTGGCTCATGGCTATCGGGAGTGAAGCTACCGCTGGAATTACCTAGGATGACTGGTCGTATGACTACAAATTGGAGGACGGCGAGCCCGTGCGACAAGGCAATGTCACGATTGACAAATTGATCGCGATCAAAGTGCTTAAAATTGGGCTTTCTTGGCCAAGTAAGTTGATACGGGGAGATATCCGTTCTCCATTATGGGTCTGTGTCAATGGGTCTAAAGGTATTTGGAAAGCTTAAGGAATCAACTCGGACCCACTGGTATATGGGGTTAAAGTCAGTTTCCCGACTGATAATGTACTGTAAATCTTTCTCTACTCCGTGCACATCTCGGGTTACTGTGACTAGTCAGGTTGCTTGACCCCGGCTTTCTATATTCTTACAACCCCTTATCTGTAATCCGGGGCCGAATTGGTTCTAGGCTCTCCTTTGACAGCCCCGAGGTGGCGATGTTTGATATAGCGCTTTACAGGTACAGGGATTATGGCCGAGGAAAGCGAGAGCGACGGAATCAGCGACCGCTAAGAATAAAACCAAGCTTCGACGGGGTTCTGGGCCAATGGCTCTAATCTTCTTTCTGGCGACCCAACGCCAAGAACGGTGAGAAGAACAACAGAGTCATCAGGTGCAGTCTACTTGGGTATAGTCACCGCCACCAACCAAGTACTGTAACCCCAACGAACATTGCAAATCAAGCCCAACGTCAAACCTCTCCCCCCCGGACACCACGGAGATGACCCGAGGCCAGAGTTCCAATAATGCAGGCTTCCTGCACCAGTATCCTGGTACCAGGGTTTAGCCATCTGCACCCAGCTAGCAATGGTAACGGAATGTCAACAGGCGGGAGTCCCGGGAACACCACCCGCTGAGACGCACATATTCCATCCTATATGCTCAACAATATTGCGCAATATAAGAATAATATGTACAGCAGGAACACCGGATATCCTGTCACCCAGCGTAAAAATAAAGCGAAGCAATATTTTCAAATATGTAATCCCTCAAAGTGTTGTGCAACGGTAGCAGTACATATAGGAGCAGCTGGCGTCCACGGGCAGATAGTGATCTGCTCATGTGCATAATGTGGCCATGATAAGGGGATATAATATCTCTCAAATGTACAGAATAAAGAGTACAATAATAGAATTGACCGTAATATTGTACTCCGCATGTAATCCGTTGCTGATCATTCCGTCTCTTGGGTGTTGCGGCCCGCACATACACGCAAGGGACGCATGTTTTCTCCACGCCACTTACTAAGGGATGTTATGGTCGAGTATCTTGTGGGGATTGTGCACCCTTGGGTGTTACAGAGTTTGGGGCCAATGCGGCTCAGGGGATGGTAATGTACATATTTTTGCTTTGCTGCTTGGCGTCTAGGTGCAATGTACGTACTACTTCGTGCCTAGCCCCGTGTTGTTCATTGCGTGGAATTAATATTTTTCTTTTCTTTTTCTTTATTTTTTCTTGCTTTTGCCAATGATAATAGGGCTGCCTGGGCCATGGATTGCCCAAGATATTTTGAAGCTTGAGCCATAGGATACATAGATCAAAAGACGTCAGGTAGATCAGCAAAAAGTATGAAAAGCCGATACTTGCTGGGGCCCTATCTTTAACTGGAGTCAAGTGCGGACTTTTTTAAGATTGAAAACCTTGATATCTCTCCTCCTCATAATATAATGTGAATTACCAGTACCGTGATATCGCACCACAGTATGGAATATACGGCTTGTAGGCTGGTCGAATAGCATCAACAAAGCGATACGGTTGCATTTTCCGTGTTTGTGAGTGGGCCTAGTCCGAATAGCAATGGTACCAACCCCCCTAAAAAAAAGCAAGATGAAAAAAAGAATAATAAACAAGACCAAAGAGACGGTGGAGGAAATAATGATAATACACAACAGCACTCCCTTATAACATTGGGCCTCGCTACAGCTGCAGTGCGCTGCCGCCGCCGGCTGAGATCCTGGTGGCGCTAGCTAATCATACCATTTTCAATTGTTGGGTATGTCGTATACCGCTGGGCCCCGAAAAAGCTATGAAATGAAGCAGTTGATCAAATCCGCAATGATCAGCTTCTTGGTCTGCCATCCGCGATCCCCGCTCCCAGTAGACACTGTCGATCCGGGAGCAGGGAACCGATCCCAATGGTAGTTCAAATCCAATGAACCTTGGAGCTTCTCCTCATTATGGATACCGACAATAAGTGTCCTTCCTCTTCGAAGAATGTTTCGACTCTAGCTCCGGGTTGCCACGTCCGCTTATGCACGATGCCGCAGGACAGTAGAATTTGGAATCACCGACTTGAACAATCCATGTTGGTGGCGATTCGATACATACCTCGAGCGGATGTGCATTTACACCATGCTGAAAACGAAAAAAAGGAACGAAGCGACCGCGAGCGAAACCAAGAGGCCGAAAAAAAGAAACAATGGAGATTGACCAGGATAATTCTCGGGGTCGGTATCCGCACGTCCGGAACCACAGCCCAACTTCCGCGAACTCGAAAATAAGCTCAAGATTCGATGGTCGCGTCTACGGCTTTGACCCCCGGGGGCCTCAGCTTTCCGATACAGGTAGAGGAAAAATATTTATCTCCAGGTCTTCAGGCCCCCATTATAGATTAGGTTGGAGAAGGGCCGCACAGACAATGGTACTTGGACCAAGCGCGGTGGAGATAAACATTTCAGTACTCCGTACTGAAAGCCTGACATTACCATCTTACCCACAAATTTCGGAGGAAAAAGAAAGAAAAAAAAGCAGTATCGAATAACATTAAGATGTGGGCGCTGCTGCGTGTACATTTTAGTTGAAAATGCTCACTAGGCTGCCGCACTGGGAACGCAAGTAAGTATCCATACGGAGTAGATCCATATGTTGTAGAAGTTGGCGAGATTCACCTAGACCATGTATTAGTCAGTAGTCCATTAGCCTCTCTTGGCTTGCAGGTGATGATCTCAGAGGCGTCTAATGATGACCGCTCTTCTTCTTTATCACCTGTCGTGGCTAATATGGCCAAGGGATCGCCGATCGGTTCATACGATTGGATAGGTGTTTCCACCTTGGGCTTATTGAACCGCCGCTCGATTGAGTATAGCCTGCAACCCTACCATGTCTACCATTTCTTGATAGACTAGAGGATTAGACGGTAAACTTGATGTATTGGGACGGGAAATATATTTATGGATACAACGGCTTGCTGCATATAGCTTACAAGTACTCCTTAGTTGCAGATAGCGGAGTAAGTGTTGAGGGGCTTGGATATATTTGGACACAGTGGACTTATTTGATTTGTTGTACGGAGTATGTTCGAACAATTGACGATCTTTGTGGCTGATCCCCGAACGTACAAGTTGAGACGTTCTAAGAAGTGCTTGGGCCGATCTCGGATCCCCCGACGGAACCATGGATCGAACAAGGTTATGTGACACTCATCCATGGATCACAGCCCTAACGAGCGTCTGTGCGCAAAATGGACTCGACCCATCGACTACACATTGCAAAGGGGCAGAAGTGGATGATCCAATCACGAGATGCAGAAAGTGATACGGAGGCTTTCGTATTGCCACACGCTCGGCTTTGCAGCTATTCATTTTTCCTTGCATTAGCATCAAGCCGATTCGCACTTTCAGGGGATATCGATGTCATGTGGAGATATGCCAATCCTCGGCGTCAGAAATGGGAGATCATGGATATGGTCCCGTATTTTTTACTCCATGGTTGTAGTATATCTATCTCGCCTGGACCCTGCCCCTGATTGAAAGGCCCTGGATTTGTTATCCATCGGCAAGCTGCATTTACTCTTCTTCTATTTATTGACATCGCGCGCCGACAATTGTTGAGGGGACCAGGCCCATTCTATATTCTGAGCTTTGTATTTGCAACACACTGCGTTCGACAAGCGCAGTGAGCCCCGACCTTGTGAATTCAATTTCCATACCCCGTACTATCTCACAATATGGATATGAATCGTGGATATCCATTTGCCGGAGAGGTGCTGGAGCGAAGACACTCTGATACGTGCATCCCACAACAACCACCAATGAATATGGTAATAGAACTTTCCAATTGCTAAATAGAAAGGTGGCAAGTATCAAATTTGGCTAATAATCAAATAGCTAATCGTTCCCAAACAACCTCATACCGCCGAATATACACACCCGCACTTCGCCATGATATATCTCGACCATAACGGCCAATGGCAACTACAAGCCTCGCCCTCAATTGCAGGCTGTGAAGGCGCTATCTTCACACCAGATGTTACAGACCGATTTATCGAAATGACTGGCCAGGCCCCACAGACCAGTCCGCAGTTTACAAGTGAGCGGGGTTTTTAAAGTCCAAGTTTCAGAACTGCAAGACTGACTTTCTTCGCCTCCTTGCAGACCCAGCCCAAGCACCTCACCCCCCTTGGGACGAGCAACCGTCTTCGGGATGGGGCCATGCCGGCCAGACGAGACAGGCCGAGATGATCCCGTTCCAATGGTCGTCACAGCAAAGCCGAAAGAAGTCAAAGCGTTCCAGCGGCATGCCTAGAGCTCGACCTAAATCTAGCTCGCCGCCGCCTGCCACACCTCCACCCGGACGAACTGTTCTTCGTGTCGGTAACCGGGCGCTACTGCGACGGTACTACGAGAAGGCATTCGAGGATTTCCAGCAGCTCAACTGTCGCGCCATCGCAAAATCCTATATCAAGCTTGTCGAACCGAGGAAGCAGGTCCATTACCCGTACAATGGACGAAGGGTTATTGCTGGTGTCTCACAGCGTGTTGACCCGGAGTTTACCAAGCCTGCGTGGTGGCCCGCCGGTGTCTTGCACAAGGAACCTGATCATTTGCTCAAGCCTGGTGAGCATATCCATTTAATATCACTGATATGAGATGGTTAATACTAACCGACGATAGACCGACTGAGACTTCTTGTTCATATCCTCTGTGAATTAAAGGATAGCCACGGAGTCACAACAGACAAACTGCGTGACGCTGGGCAAGATGTGAGACGCCAGATCACTCCTGCCCACCGGCTACAGGTTCTAGACGAGATCTACTTTGTGCGACAAATGGAAGAACAGTTTCTGGATGGTGAAATCGGTATGTGTCACCCTATCCTAGCACAAGACCCAATCAGCAGTTCCACTAACGATGTTTGTATTATTGTCGTTATAGACGCCAGTACCTTGATCCAGGTAACACAAACACATCTGCCAGAAGCAATTTTCCAAGACGGCGATGAACTATCATCCCGTGCACATGCAGCACCAGCAACAGCGTCCGTGATTGAGACCGAACATGACATGCACGATGCAGGTGATAACCCTGGCATCTCCACGCTGGAAGAAGATGACTCAAAGCTACACCACTCGCACAGTCTACCCCTCTCACCCACCACTAGTGAGTCAAGTGGTCCACACAGCCCAACAGGCAGCTTTGGATATCCAATGGGTATAGCACCATCGGTGCATGTAATCCCCCCACTCGAGACCCAGAATGTCCCAAAGTCTATGCATCCAGACCCGACTTATCTGTCTGGGTACTACTCGCAGCCGTTTGTGTCTGATAAAGGGCCTGGGTTCTGGGCGCAAGCCAACTCTGCATCGCAGTTTGGATACTAATAATTTTCTGTTTCCTTCCATCTCTTGTTTTCACCAGTACATATCTGGAGTTTGTGAGCGTTCGGCTGGACATGGATATGGGGTTTCGCTGGTTGCTTTTTTTTCTATATTATATTTCTTTTCTTACTTGGGATATTTTGTTCCCTTGATTTCATATACGAGAGGTCAAGGAGAATGTGCAACAAATAAATGGAACAACTCAAAATGTTGCAAACACTATAGTAGAACAGTGCCAGTAAAGGAATTGAGAACAAAGGAACTCGGACTATAAAGTTTGCTGCCTCAGGCGACAACATCACACCTGGTCCAAGCCAGCGCGCTGATTGGATCCGCATGACGATCCCCCAGCGCAGCTCTCCATCCAACCACCATTCACATCACGAGCACACGTCAATTTCTCACCTTCTCGCTGGTTCTTGTCCGAGTATCTCCCCATCCTTGGTGACTGCATCAAAGTTGCAGCTGCAGTTCTATATCGCCGTTTCTGTGTCATGCGCCAGTGAGTCCGGAGTTGTTTACTCTGTGGATCGCCAACCACAATTCGCCATCATCGCCCAGTGAGTCCAACAAACGCGTGATCCGCCGATAAGGTAAGATTGCTGTCGTTTCTTTAATTGCCCCTCATGTCTATATAATGGTTGTGTGTTTTAAGCACTCGCGCCTGGTTGGCACATATCTACTACGCTGTGCTCTTTGGGCTTGCAACTATGGGGATGCTAACATTCAATCGTTTCCTCAGTCGACCATATCCCAACACTAGGGACGGCCCGACGATACTCTCTTTTCAGCAACAGTTCTTGATGGAAAGCACCGGCTCGAGAAGAAAGTCTGATCCCACCATGTCGGCTGAACCGCGGGTCTCGACGCCAGGCCTGGACGAGATCGATGTGCCCTTCCCTTCAGACGACTTTACCGACAACGATGAAATTGGCTCTACTCTCACATCCCCGGGACGTCTGTCACGCAACGGCTCCTTCTCAAATAGCAGCTCGTACCAGGAGGACTGGGAGTCATTTCCACCGCTGGACAAGCTGACTGTTTTCGACCTACTCGACAACATCCAGCTCTCACAGCGCCTGGAGAAATGGCAGCAGACTATCGCCATGCAAAAGGAGAAGGTGCGCAGGCAGCGGGAGAAGCTCAAGTCGTCTTCCTTGAACGCCAAGGATCGTGTTGTGGGTGAATGGAAGCGCCGGGCACCGACCGCCGATGAGAAGCTGGAAAAGTATCGTTCTCGGATGAAGCAGGGTGTAGAGCGCCTGGGAAAGCAGTGGAACAAGACGGCGACTGTCACCCTCCGGGAGAAGATGTCTTTTATTGCTGGTGTGCTCAATATCTTCATCAGCGGCTACCTGATTGGTGCTTGCCCGGAGTACTTTTATATATGGTTTAGCGCCCAGTTGGCATATTTCATGCCCATTCGCTACTTTACTTACCATGCCAAGGGCTACCATTACTTCTTGGCCGATCTCTGCTACTTTGTCAATTTGCTCTGCATGCTGAGTATTTGGGTCTTCCCCAACTCGAAACGGCTTTTTATCAGCACCTTCTGCTTGACCTTCGGAAATAATGCGGCTGCAATCGCAATGTGGCGCAACTCTATGGTCTTCCATAGTATGGATAAGGTTGTTAGGTACGTTAACCATCGAAAGGAACAAAGTTCGCTCGCTCATCTTGTCTCCGCAGTCTCTTCATCCATATCATGCCACCTGTAACTTTGCACTGCATCGTACACCTGACTCCGGTTGAGAAACTCAAGGAACGTTTCCCTGCTGTCTACAACATCAAGTTCAGTCAGCCCGGGGATCCAGAGCATTATGGTCTTGGTGCCATGATACTATGGTCCACGGCCCCCTATTTGGTGTGGCAGCTCATGTACCACTTCCTGATCACCGTGCGCCGCCGCGATAAAATCGCAGCGGGTCGCCCGACCAGCTTCACATGGCTGCGCAAGTCATACTCCAAAGCGTGGATTGGACGATTTGTGCTGAGTCTACCTGAGGCGCTGCAAGAGCCATGCTTCATGTTCATCCAGTATGGGTTTGCTTTGTCCACAATGATCCCTTGCCCGGTCTGGTTTTGGTCCAAATGGGCCAGCGGTCTGTACATGTCTGCGCTATTTGTCTGGAGCATCCACAATGGAGCAACTTACTACATCGACGTCTTTGGAAAGCGCTTCCAAAAGGAATTGGAGCAGCTCAGGACAGATGTTGCACGTTGGCAGAGCTCTCCCGAAGGAACCACTAGTCCCTTACTTGCCGCTGAGCCCAGTCCTCTCAGTGAGGCCATCAATGCACACAGCGCGGAGAAGCGATCTAGCGTCGATCGAATCCCCTTGTTGGATACTGCCGAGGCCTCTTCTATCGATATCCAGCAGGAAGGTTTGAACAAAGACTCTCTTGCTAGAGAGCGAATTTGAGGGGCTATAATAATATCTTGCCATCGTTTATGCTAGTCTTTATATACCCTCATTTTGTTGGTTTCTTTTTTTGTCAAGATTCAAGAGCCTTGGAATTACTGAGCGAGTTTTGTTTTTAGTATAGATGTACAAAGTTGGCTATTTAAATGATATGATGTTTGCAGAATGAAATCCTTTGTATCGGGCTGTTCTAGAATCCGGATATCAGTTTAACCCCGAGCAAAACCCGAGGCGGTATCGGCTGTCACGTGCAAGATGACTGCGGCAGTACATCACAGCATTTCATCAGATCCGGTTCCAGGACATTCCAAACTTTCTTAACCATCAATTTATTGCTGTGATTTATTTTTTTAACTTCATCCTGTGGACATTATACTTGATCATTTATTTCATTGCTGTTGCGCCTACCCCTTAAGTCGTTGCATCGAGCACTTACCTTTTTGCCCCAACGTTTCCCGCAAATGTCCGCCACGATGAGATCGACCGGATTGGTCCGCGGAACACCTGCTTTCCGGTCTGCCCTGATCGGTAAGTGTTAAAGAACCCCAGGAAACTAGATGATAATGACAGTTGCTGATATTTCTCTCTTGAGCAGGCCGTGGTCGTTCAAGTGCACTGAGCCCAGCTTCCATTGCAGCTCGCAGTCTTCTACAAAATGGCCGTGACCTGCCATCCCAAGTGTCGGCGCTTGCCATTCTGATGCCACAGCGTGGATATGCGACCGAGCCATCCACGTCGAACAACTCTTCTCAGAACTACCCTCCCCCCGGGTTCAATGCCGAGCAAGCCAAGAAGCCACTCTCCCAAGAACAGACTGCGCAGTCACAATCTACAGTTGCGCAGACCCAACCCGCCGAGACACAGTCAGTTGCTAGCAAGTCAGCGCCCGCTGGAGTTGTTGCAAAGACGAACCCGGAGGACCAGAAGTTGGCCGAGAAGAAGCCCGCCAAAAAGTTGACACTTGGACAAAAGGTTAAGAAAGAGTTGCAGCACTACTGGGATGGCACAAAGTTGCTTTCTACCGAGGTCAAGATTAGTTCCAGACTGGCGTTGAAGATGGCCGGTGGTTATGAGCTCAGTCGCCGAGAGCACCGCCAGGTATGCTTGCGCCACCAGATATATTTCGATATCTTGTACTGTTTGGCTAACCGAGGTTTAATTATAGCTCCAACGTACCACAAAGGATCTCGGACGATTGGTTCCATTTTCGATGTTCCTCATCGTTCCCTTTGCCGAACTCCTGCTTCCTGTCGCCCTGAAGCTCTTCCCCAACATGCTCCCTAGCACCTACGAGGGACAGAAGGCCCGCGACGCCAAGGCCTTGAACCTCAGATCGACCCGCAAGGAAGTTTCTGGATTCTTGCGCAACACTATCCGGGAGACCGGTCTGCCCTTGACCGCCGCCACCGTTAAGAACGACGAATTCACAGACTTCTTCCGCAAGATTCGCACCACCGGCGAATCGCCCTCCACAGAGGATGTCATCAAGGTTTGCAAGATCTTCAAAGATGACCTGACCCTTGACAACCTGTCTCGACCCCAGCTGGTCGGCATTTGCCGCTACATGAACCTGAACTCCTTTGGTACCGACGCTATGCTCCGGTACACCATCCGACACCGCATGCGCCAGATCAAGCGTGATGACCGCGCCATCTTCTACGAGGGTGTTGATTCACTCTCCGTCCCAGAGCTGCAGATGGCCAGCGCCTCGCGCGGAATCCGCACACACGGCGTCTCCCCCGCACGCCTGCGCGAGGATCTCGGCATGTGGCTCGAGCTGCGTCTCAAGCAGGGCGTTCCCTCCACTCTGTTGGTTTTGAGCAATGCCTACCTATACACCCAGGGTGGCAAGGAGTCCGAGTTTGCGTCGCAAATCGATGCGCTCAAGTCTGTGCTCTCTAGCATCCCCGAGGAGTTGTTCCACGAGATCGAGCTCGAGGTCCACAATGCCGAGGGTGCTGCTACCAACAAGCAGCGTCTTGAGGTTATCAAGGAGCAGGAGGAGCTGATCGAGGAGGAGAACGAGCAGAACAGCGAGAACGAGAGCACGGGTGTCTCCGCGCCTAAGGATATTGAGGATATCGATGAGAAGGAGGAGACTAAGGTTGATGCTCTTACTAATGGCGCTAAGCAGTCTGCTGAGGCCAGTGAGGCCTTGGCGGAAGGTGAGCGCGCCGAGAAGGCCACCGAGTCCAAGGACGCGAAGAAGAGCGAAAGCTCGTAGTTGATATGAATATGCTGGCGATTTCTTTTTTGTTTTGGGTTGTACTTCTCATATAGATGGTTGCCTTGTTTTGTTGGCTTTCACTTAGTTTTCTCCCCCTTCAGTTCTCATCCTGTCTTATTTATTCTCGCTATGTTGATAGACCATTTGATCCCCGCCTCTCTACCTTATTTTATTACTCCCTTCTCAATGTGATCTAGCTGTCTGGCTGTGTACTCTATTGATTTCTTTCTGCTATTTTCTATCTCGAGTATTGGGAAACTGCATCAAGTGGATAACTTTAAAAGGGATAAACCCAATTAACTCATGCATTCCTCTCATTCATCAAGAACCTGTAGCACTTTGACCGATGGATTTATATCTTAGTCACCGACACCGACATCCATTCTCAAGTTACCTCGGCTACTACACGGGCCAAACCCCATCTTTCCCCAAGTTATACCTCGTAGCCAACTGCCCTACGGAGGACTAAGTACATAAGTTGTCATTTATAACGAACTTGTTTGAAATGCGGAGACCACAGCTCAACCTCCTCCGGACACTTCGTTTCAGTACAACCTGCCCCCAGACCCAATATCCACTCAAATTATCCCTCAACTCCAACCCCAGCACTTCCAAGCCAGAACCCCCAACTTCCAAAATAATGGCGCCCCTAAATCCGACTTCTCAGGTATGTGTAACTTGTTCTCTGCAACTACCCGAAATGACCGCGTGTCCTCCTGTGTAATAAGAATCTGCTGTGTCCAATTTGCCATGCGTACTATCCCTGCTATTTTTACCCCCTGTTTCCCACTCCCTTAGTCACGGGTTGTCTTGAAATTGCCATGTTTCTTTTCTTTTTTTTTTTTTTTTTCCAGACGATCATACCTGGATGTGTATCCAAGGAGGTCTGGAAGATAGGGTCATTTGAGTTTCGGCTTCAAGTCTTACAACGTGCGTGGGACTTGGAACCTGTTGATTTGGGGAGTGGGAGATGGAACATTCTTTTCTTACCGGATATCTAAGACAAGTTCTTCACACTCAGGAAGGTTTTGCTTAAACCGAGACCTCACCGTTCTGTTCCATTTCCCCGTGGATGTCCATCCCGATGTTGAAACCCAACCCCAGGGGATAGAATACCCTGACACTTATGATGTATCCATAGGAAGCAATCAGCAGACTCCGAAACTACATCCCCCCGCCAACAGAGTACAACTCAGTCCCGCTAAGCAGACGGGCGGCTGTGCTGATACTGCTCTTTGCCGATGCCAAGGGCGACCTTAAGGTCGTTGTTACGATTCGGGCTAAGACACTAAGTTCGTGTAAGTCTTAGGGGAAGATACGTGGATCAGCCCTGTATTCAGGTGGATGCATGGCATGGGTTGGTTGTTCGGGACTAGGCTAATCTTGTTTGGGTGTAGATGCAGGAGATGCTGCTTTGCCTGGTGGTAAGTTGACGGTTTTCCCCCAAGGCAAGAAAACAAGGGGGAAAAGAAGAAAAAGCCGAAAGCTGAGTCAAGCTGGTCGCCTTAAGCTGAATTGGAACAAAACACAAGAAAAAAAAGAAAAAAAAAAAAAAGAAATACATGGACATAACTAATGCCTTCTAGGCCGAGCAGATAACACCGAAACAGCCTTCCAAACGGCGCGCCGCGAGGCATGTGAGGAGATCGGCCTCCCCGACATGAACCAAAAGCTTCCACCCCCATTTAGCGTGGAGCATCTCTGCGAGTTCCCGGCAAATCTTGCCCGAACGGAGGTGGTTGTACGTCCCTGCGTCGCTCTCCTCCACAGCTATGATCCTGGCTTGGGGCTGAATGCCGATCCTGAGGTGTCACTTATTCCTATTTTGGATGCGAGTGAGGTTGAGGCTGTTTTTACTGCGCCATTCAAGGACTTTTTGAGCGACAGTGCACAGAATGCACATGAATGGTATCGTGGATCTTGGGGGATGTGGCATAATTCACAATGGAGGAGTAAGTCTATTTTTATTTTCTTTCTTTCCTTTCTGTTCTTTTTTTTCTACGGAGTACTCCGTAGACGTTGGCCATATGGGATTATACCATGTTGAGGGTGGATACATGGAATGTTTAATTTAGTTTTTTTTTCTTTTGTTTTTGCTTTCATTTCTTATTTCTTATTTATCTCTTTATGCCTAAATAGGTAATAGGGGGCCAGCAAAGATGTGGATACTAACTACGCCACTAGTGCACCAGTTCTTTGTTCACCAAATTAGTGAACATGGGGAAGATCAAGTCTATCGTATTTTTGGTATGACAGCACGAATTATTGTCGATGCAGCGCGTGTCGCATATGCACAGGAACCGGAATTCGAGCATAACAGTCATTTTGGAGATGAGGAGATGATCGCTAGACTTCGTCAGTTAGGCCGATTGAGTGAAAAGGCAGCCAAACTTAGTTAGAGGGACTGTGCACAGATAAAAGGGAACATGTCAGGCCTAAATCAGCCCAAGGTATCTACAGTCCTGTCTGTCCAATCATATTGTCTGTTAAGCGGAGCAAGGGCGATCCGAACATGTCCTTGCGTCGATGGTTCGTTTGACGATGTTAGAAATGATACCTATATATTACTTTACTACTTATATTACTATATTACTATATTACTATATTACTATGCATATTCCTATATTACCTGGAGTATATCATCTTATAAATCTTATAAACCCTGGAACTACTCCGTACATCGGTGTATTCTCTCCTTACATCTGATATTAATATATTCTCTCTCTCCTCTCTTTCTCTCTCTCTCTCTTTCTTTGTTATTCATACTATCTTCGTGTGGCGGTTACCATTCTTTGATGTATTTTTACACTTCCAATTGATTGTTCGACATTCTCGAATCCAAAGATGCCTTCCCCAACCTTGTCGTATCACAGTCGAATGGCACCCCCCGTCCGACCATCTCGTTCACTTGAAGGACTCGAACGAGTAATTCCACCACTCTCGCCCCAAAATCCCTTCTCTACACGCTCCGATCTCTTTCTCAACAAACCCCTCCCCGCCAAACCCTTTGACGAGGAACCAGAATGTTCGGCGATGTGGAGTGACTCCAGCGACAGCGACACTGAAAGTACACTCGATAGCATCGCCGGAAGTGAACCCCGCCATTCAGCAGATAGTTATCCCATCTTCGTCAGTTCTGGCTCCGACTTCGACGACTTGGTTGATCACCCGGTTCCATCGCCCGATCCGCTTCTGAGACTATCCCCGCAACTGCCTCCACACAAACGCACGGACTCGATCGATATCAATATCCCGCCATCAATTGTTGAGCCCTCAGTATCGGTTTCGTCTTCATTCGATACACAGTACGGCCGTCCATCGCATTGGACCCAAAATCGTACAGGCACGAACCACTACTTCCGCGAGAAGAAGTGGGATTATTTCCCCGAATTGGCACCTTCCGCTCTACAGGCTAGTGGCCGCATCAGCCCAAATATGGTTGCACCGAACAATAAATCCCGCAAAATGGGCAACCCACTGGATTTCGCCAAGGGCAAGTACCGCTGGCATTCGCTCGACCGCGGTGGTCTCGGCGGAGTTCGTGATTCAATCAAGACATATGTCCACCGCACTCTTTCGCGCGACTCGACAGCAGATAATAAGAAGGAAATTCCCCGTCCAGCGACAGCACCAATGGACCACCACCTCAATGATGTAGGAGGTAAACTCAGCAGCACAGCCCCGATGCCACAGCTCTCCTCCTTGGCCTTGGACACGAATGTCGCTGCGCGAACTACATCCGTGGCTACATCCTCAAGCAGCGAGTATGACTATAACAACCACAAGTTCCATCTTCAAACACCAATCTCACCAACCTCGCCTACTTCGCTCTCAACTCCCACAACGCCCCGACCGAAACAATTAGCAGTTCCGCTATCCGCATACCAGAAACACGGCCCCGTGATCTGGGAACCGCCCAAATCCAAGAAGCGGAACGTTCAGTTCCCGAGATATAAGTCTTCGCCTGGTTCGGCTGCAGAGCCGTCTTCATCTTCGGCTCCCAACTTATCTTATGCAAATGCTACCCCTTCTTTGTCTCCGCCGCGGAAGCAGTCCTCAAACAACCCCCGAGGGGTGTTCCTGGGTGCGAAGAAAAAGATGGCGGAGTCGAAGGATGATCGTAGAAGAGAGCAGTTGAAGGCTCAGATAAAGCTGGTTGGCCCTGTCAACCCACATACCTATGTGCAGGGTGATCCCTGGATTTGAGGTTTGGCCTTTTGCTCTGCTGAAACTACGTTGGGATTTCTTGTTTTATTTTTCATTGTTTTTCAGCACTCACTACTCATCTCATGACATCTCACGACAACATACCATATCTATACCTATACCCTCTTCGCTTTACAACTTGGTTCTTGTTTTGGTTTCAACTGTATCATTCTCTTCACTTGCCTCTCGGTCTTATATGTTACTCCACTCTCCCTAACCAATTTCCCAACCTACCCGGGCATTCATGTCCTCAGACTCTCCTTACACATCATTTTGTTCTATTTCTTTATATTCTATTATTGGCCTATTGATTTGGATATTTGTCGATATCATAGATTTTTGCAGGCGTTTCCTAAGCGAAGATTTCTGGCTTAATATGGTTTGAGCCGCTGACTCTTGACTGAACATCAGAGTCAGCTCTTTAATCTGAATTATCACCCAATTGAACTCATTGGGCATCAATACCAGCTTTCTGAATTTCCACTTGAATTTCCGATACTGAATCTGCATCGTTAAACTCAAATAACCGCAAATAAACTTATCTGCACAACACCTATACTAGACCACTTATACAGATGCATTTAGTACACTTGGTTTCTTACATGTATGCATGTACATACCGCACAGACACAGCTGCAATTCAAAATGACCAACGTGGATCGCCACTGTCAGGCAATCATTCCAGTCATATTTGATACACACCCGCCTTCACAGTCAAATGTTAAGTCCACTCCGGTCTCGTCTAGTCGTGGTCCACATCTCGGCACTAGACTTGTATGTTCCCATTGGTAGATGGTGTAAGGGTAAGGGTCTTTATATTGCAGACCTGTCTGCCAAAAGATTTCTGTGGACAGGACTAGACCGAATTCTAAATGAGGGGTAAACAGGGACATGAACTGTCTCAATTCTAGTGTAACAGCAAATCGAGAACACATTTTCCGAGTGAGTGCGTGTAACAACAACCTCGTGTCGACAAGCAGTTATCCCAAGAACTAGCGGTGTCCATCTAGATGAGCTGTTCATTGATGATGGTCTGTGGTTGTGCAGGACGGGAATCAGGTTTTGGGAGTCTTGCTTGGCTTTAGAATAACCCCTCATTTTGATGATAGTTGTCACCGACTTTTCGGAATTGATGTACTTCGCTCCATGTGGAAGATGGATATGTGAGTATGTTGGTGCGCTAATGCGCTAATGCGGTGTGTTCTGCGTCATTAGTGAGGTGTCATCGCCGCGGTGATGGGTCATAATTCTACGAAGATCTAGATTTGCCTCGGGTATGTTTGCTTCATGTTTGCTTGGCTTAGATTGAGTATTGAACCTTATATTTATGTCGTGTCATACATATGTGGCTATATGCTTTGGGCTGAACTTTGTTGTGAATGGTTCTGCGCTAATCCAGTTGCGTTTCGCTATGCCTATATGTATGTATATGGGTACTTGCATGTGCGGAACTAGTCGTTATCATGGGCTGGATATGCAAAAGATGTCTTGTACAAATTGTACTTTTCACGGTATTTTTTGGTTTGGAGTTAATTGTTTTTACTCTTCTTGCATCATACTATATGCAATGCCAGCAGGGAATGAAAATGTCTAGGAAGACAGCGAAAATGACATTTTAGCATGACCTCATGTGTATCGTGTTCTGATATCAAATTTAGACTGAACTTCGAGATGTTTGCATACTACTATACCTTTGGAAGAGTTGATCATAACAGATTTATTCTTACCCCAACGAACCCGGTGGACTTGGGCTAGGTTTGCTGGTTAGCAAGTAGATGTAGACCGAATATGACGCCTAGGGAATAATACTTGTGTACCAACGCTGTGCGGAGAATAATCAAGTGACTGCCTCCTCCCATAATCTTCCTGTCAATATCTTGAGGGTCTTCTTTGCGGTCATATTATCGAAATCTATAAACGACAAATCATCAGATTTATGCGCTACAACAAGGATCTGTATTTGACATGTAAAAGCCTCGGGCGGTACTTAGGAGGCATCACAGAGACCTCTTGCCATTCATTGTTACCCATTGGTCACTAAGCATCTGAATTTCAATACTTCCGAGGTGAAGAGTTCAGTGGGTCGACCCCCGGATTCTTCTCAATTGGGGACTAGCTAAAGTCAAATATTTGGGGTTGGTATGCGCCAATCCTGATCCAGGTTGCTCCTTCCAAAATTTATGCCTCAGAGCCATGTGTTACAAACAGCACTTCTTGGCATATGTATTTCTCCCTCGGTTTTAAAGGGCCGTAATTCCATATAGAACCTACGCACCCTATGTAAACGGTCATCATCAGTATCCAATGTTTCAATAGCAAGCTGACGTAGTGGAGGCTAGGAAGTAGGGGGTGGAGTATAGAGTACATCGAAGTACACACACCCTGAAAACCCAGAGACTTCAAGTTTCTCAGGGACGGGATATCGGGACAACAGCATCACAGATTGATACCCATGTATGTACCTATCTAGGTACATGCATATGTAATCCCAGGTCAGATATTCTGATGGAGATAAGGACATCTCCGTGATGATCCCGGGACATGTGGGTCTCCCGACGTCGATCCGCAACCTTGGAAACTAAGAACTACCTAAATCCGCCAATCAAGGATCGTACACCAAAATCTATAAGAATGCATTTTGTTTCACTCGGAGACAGGTCTCCGAGCATCTCAAATGAGCGATCATCCGCTGAGCGATATGGTATCGAGGGGAGGAAAGGTCATGGCGCCTAGCTAAAATCTTGATATCCCAAGTATTTCGAGTACACAATTAATTGACATTTGGTTCTATATGCGCCATACAATTAGCAATTAGGCATATATTGAACTTGGTGAAATCAACCAATATCGTCTTGAGCTGTATACCCTCAGGATGTAAATGTTGACCAAAAGGACCCTTGCATTGACCAGTGCCAAGGCCTGAGTGTGGTTAGATCGATGCGAGTTGATTACAGTGGGGAGCCCATGTCGCGTTGGTGTCGGTGGATTGCTTTGCTTACTCTACAGGAAGCCAAAGTAGATCAATTGGCATGCGAAAATCGAGGTACTGGGCCTCAGAAGGGCAAATCGCAGACCCCTGGACGATAGAAAAAGAATAAATACTAGGCATGGGCGCAATCAGTCCCTGGCAAACCAGAGTCAAAAAGAGAGAGCTAGCCAAAATCGTAAAGATGAAGCTCAATCTTGTCACTTTATTTGCCTGCGTTCCCGCTCTCTTCGTCGAAGCAAGCAAAGTTAGGAGTGAGGACATCTCTGTAACGTCGGCATGTCGACGTGCCGTATGTCTTCGATGCACCATATTCCGATTCGAATCCTCTAATACCCTTTCCAGTGCTCTCGTATTGCCAATGACTTCAACTCTGCAACAACCAACCCGGGAAATGGGAACCTCACGGTCTGGGATGCCAAGCAGCAGGCTGTCCAGTCAGCCTGTCGTGTTGTTCCTGTATCTACCGACGAGGTGTCCCGAGTGATGGGAATCGTGATCGAGGAATCGTGCCACTTTGCCGTCAAAGGGGGAGGTCATGCACGTTATCCGGACGACTCGGTGTCCGTTGGAGGAGTGACTATCGATATGCAGAGAATGAGATCCATCCGCGTTTCACCAGATCGGAAAACCGTGAAAGTGGGCAGCGGGCATATACTACACAGCGTTTACGAAGCCCTTGACCCGTATAACATGACGATAGTCGGAGGTAGAGCCGCCACAGTCGGTCTTGGTGGATATACCCTCGGCGGGGGTTTATCCCATCTCTCCCCGAGATATGGACTAGCTATGGATAACGTGTTTGAGTACGAGGTAGAGAGAGCACCCTTCCCCCCTTTACACTCTGACCCATGGTATGCATCGTGTTACTGACTATAATATGGCGAAGCTTGTCCTGCCTAACGCTACGGTAGTGGCAGTGAACGAGGACGCTCATCCCGATCTCTATTTTGCCCTCCGCGGGGGTATGAATAACTTCGGCATTGTGACTCATTTTACCGTCAGAGCTGTGTCCCAAGGTCAAATCCACGCCGGAGACAGGACCTACACAATAGATAAAAGAGATGTCATTCTAGACCAGGCATACAGGCTTACGACACAATGGAAAAACGACACAGCCATGTCCTTCTACCATGGCTTCGGTTATAATCAAAGTACTGACCATTACACTTTGTCCTTTACCCCGGAGTATTCCCATCCCATTCTGAACCCTCCTCCGTTTGCAGAGCTAAAACGTATCGCATTCGAGACTGATACGGTTCGGCTCGATCGGGCAAGTGAATTCTCAAAGGAGGTCGCGTCGGCAACTCCTCCGGGAGGTCGGTAAGATCATCAACGAACTCCCCCAATTGATAATTTGACGAACGCTAAGTGATACAGCAACCTGTTTGCCACTATGACGTACTACTCATCATTGGAGCTTGATAAACAGATGCAAGAAATCATGATGGAAGAGATCGAGTCGTTCAAAAGGACTGCAGGATTCTTTCCCAACTTGATCCTGCAGCCACTCTATGAAGCTGCCATCCATGCTGGGAGACAACGCAGCGGGAATGCTGCAGGGATCAATGCTGATGGCCCTCTCACCGGTACGTGTACAAGATTCTAATAAATATGCTGTATATTGGTTTTTGACCGCCTTAGTTGCCCTACTAACTGTTCTCTGGGAGAACTCTGCCGATGACAATGCAATGAACACATTCGTCAGCCGATGGGTAGAAAGGGCCACTACCTTCATCCACAAGTCGGGGAAAGACCACCCTTGGCTTTATATCAACTACGCTAGTAAAGATCAAGATCCATTTTCCGGATATGGAGAGAAGAACCTCCAGCGACTGCGGGATATCCAGAAAATGGTTGATCCTACAGGTGTGTTTACATCAACAGGATTGTGCAGAGGGTATTTCAAATTGTTGTAATTACCAAGAGGAAATAACATGGGATGTGGGGTCTACTATCTCTCCTGCTACCTTGCCTTTTTGGAATACAACTTTACTATAGGCTTAGGTGAAGGTAGTAACGAATTTCATCTTTCTGTGCCAGTTGAGTTATCTACCCGCGGATTTTTTTTGGTTTGTATAAATTTGTATAACCAGACAAGAGTTAAAACCACGTACGAATTGCTTGCAGGTGGACTGTAGAATATATCGATTTCATAGTTAGAAAGAAAGATACATGTAGATCTGTACTTCAGTCTGGTAAAGGTCAAGAATACCAAAAAATTCACGTTTCCCTCGCTTTTCCTCCGGATAGACGACACGAGACCCCCAATGTATCCCTATACCTCACATTAGAGACATTCGCATTGGCCGGTGGCAAGTTAAATACACAATGACCGAAAAGCAAGATGACCATGCACATACCTGATTTGAAGCACTAGGCATATACTATCCCAAGGCATCTATTTCGGTGCCTCGATTTGCGAACCAAACAAGAACACCGGCTCCTTGTTGCTGAAATTCGGAACATCGCCCATGACCTCAGCCACTTCGGGGCTTGCGAATGCCTTGTCAACACCTTCCTTGTTTTCCCAAACAACAACACTTCCAAATGTGTAAGGAGGTTGTGCCCCATCGGGACCGGGGGCAAAAGTGGTTACGGACCAATCTTGCACCCCGTACTTCGTCCAGTGTTGTTTGATTAGAGGCATATGATGCGCCGTGTAGTAGTCTATGTCGTACTTGGCATCAGGGACGTTGGGGAAGAGGACAGTAATAGTGAAAGCCATGGTGCCGGGTCGTTATCGAGAGAGGAGTATGGAAGATCAACTTAAGGTGAGGTGTGTGTTGACAAGGAAGGAAGACCGGACTCCAGTACTTATATCCTACAATTCTCAAAAGGCTGCTGGTTGTGCTAGAAACTTCCTTCAAGGTTTGGTTACCTCAATGCTTACAAACGATCTGATGATCTAGGGTTCAATGGGCATATAGGACTTAAGGATGTAGGTCCGCTGGATGGGGCTCCACTCAGTGGGGGCGAGAATGTAAGCAAGATGATCTAGGAAGTGTACTCGAGTATATTGGTTTTTCGTTCCGCTTGAATGGATTGGGTATTTGCAACGGACTTATCACAACTCCGTCAAAACTCTAGTTTCCAGAGATTTGTAAGATCAAGTTCTTTTTGTAAAATCGCGCAAGTCTTGCCTCTTCGGGGATTTCCGACACGACAGTCGTCTGGTCTTCAAACTATTAAAGGGCCAGTGCTAGTAGGCGACTACGAAACCTGTGAGTACAATAAATTATTTTGCTATCGCACTACTCCGGTGCATTCTCAATCACATCTTCTTCCCATCATTCAAAGTTCTTGTCAATATGTCCGAAAAGCCCAACTTCCTATTCGTTCTCACGTCTCAGGCGATTTTGCCTAGTCGGGGGACCCCTACTGGCTGGTATCTACCGGAGCTTGTCCATCCTTACAACAAGCTAGCACCGCGTTTCAACATCGTCGTTGCCTCTCCAGCTGGCGGGGAGGCCCCGTTGGATCCTTACTCCATTGAATCCACCAAAGACGACGCAGAGTGCCAGGCATTCTTGAAGGAACATAAGAATGTCTGGGTGGAAACTGTGAAATTGTCTTCGTTGCTCGGAAGATCGGCTGAGTTTGCCGGAATCTTTTACGTTGGTGGACATGGCCGTGAGTTGGCACCCTTACCTGAAATCTGAAATACATTGCACCAAATTAGGCTCTAACATACGATTCATAGCAATGTTCGACCTTGCAAACGACCCGGTCTCCCAGTCTTTGATTCGTGAATTCTACGAGTCTGGCAAGGTTGTTTCAGCCCTATGCCATGGACCAGCTGCTCTTGTGAATGTCAAGCTGTCCGATGGGACATATCTCGTTTCCGACCAGACGGTTACTGGACTCTCCAATGCAGAGGAAGAGGCTATGCAGTTCACCAACGATATGCCATTCCTTTTGGAATCCGAGCTGCGAAACCGAGGAGCAAAGTATGAGAGCGCCGATGGTTTATTCGGTGTGAAGGTGGTCGTTAGCGGCAAAGACGGAAAGTTGATAACGGGCCAAAACCCACCGAGCGGGTCTGTAATTGGCGAGACCTTGCTCAAGGCTCTTTCGTAAATAAGTGGCAGGTGATAGTGTTTCTTAGTTCTAGCCAACTCGAAATATAATCAAGTCATGCGAAATATCAGGAATTGTAATACGTCCAGAATAAAACCCCACAACTGCATGTATTCAAACGGCCCCAGAGATTTCCACGGTTAGTCGCAGGTTCTGTCTCGAATCGGATATACATCAATTCGGATACTGTGTGTTGTACGGAGTGTGTTGTATAGCAATGTGGACCAAGTGTGGAGCATCCAACAAAGCATGTGGCCAATGAGAGCCTATATGTAAGCAGACTAATCTTCGGACGGTCCACAGGTATATTTGACCAATGAACGTCAAGACATAAGCAGACTCCATTTCAAGGTTACCAAAGAAAGGGTAATATATGGGGATCTGAGCCTACGGGGATGTTCATTGGACGATGGTAGTTATCCGTGGGATACTATTGGACACTAAAAATCGAGAACCAGACAATTGATACTCGTGGACCCTTCCTAGGTCACCGTCTTCTTTACTAATCGCGTTGCACTCGACTTTTCGGTCCCAACGGTGCTAATCTCCTTGCATCCCCGTCATTTAGAAATCCCAATGTCATCAAACACCCCAGTCCCAAACGCCCCAACGAGCTCTTATTCTCCCGATGACGATTTGACGGGGGTTACTAGCGCGGCTTTACGGCGGAGAATACAGAACCGTTTAAATCAAAGAGCCTACCGTAAGATCTTCGCCCATCTATGACATGATCGATATCGATCGTACCTAGCTAACACGGTCCTTTCTTTTGAATCCAGGAGCACGTCTCGAGGCGCGTGCTCAAAGAGAAAAGCAAACAAATGAAGCACCACAAGTCCCTCAAACTGGAGATGCTTCTACCCTCGCACTAGTGAAGAGCGGGGCCAAATCACGACTAAATCCAATTATATGCACATTATGTGAGGCACAACACTCGCAGTGTACATTTGCCCCTCCGAACATACACAGTCTCATGGATGAGTTCGAAAAAAGAGCCCTGGATAGTTATTGGGAAGGCTCGCCAAAGACGGATCTTTTGATCAGCCTAAGCAGACTAAATGTCCTTCGGGCAGCCTACGATAATGTCATGGCTGTGGGGATGACAGCGGAGTGGCTTTGTCAAGATGAACCCATTTCAATATTCAGTATACAAGGTCCTCGGCTTTCTGAGGTCAATATCCCATCAACTCTACGCCCCACATACCTACAACGATCAACGCCACATCATCCATGGCTTGATATTTTTCCATTTCCTCAGTTTCGTGACAACCTCATTCGAGCCGGAGATAATCTTGATGATGATGAATTATGTCATGACCTTACGGCGTTTTGGGACACCCGCACTAGTAATGCTAGGTTACTCGTTTGGGGAGTACCGTCTTGTCCGGAGAATTGGGAGGTCACAGAGGAATTTGCTATGAAGTGGGGCTTCTTTTTGCGAGGTTCTCCTGAGATTCTCATTTCAACAAATAAATGGAGGGTGCAAAGAGGTGAGAAGCCACTGGTTTGGAAGAGAATCTTTGGTATATACTGAAGGTGTACTCCCATGCACTCCATGTGGGAAGCACTTAAGTTGTACCCAAGTGACACAGAGGGCAAGGAATATAAAGTAGAGCTGTACATATGGCTACCAATCAATTTTGATCATCGCGAGCTTCAAGGAAATTAAAAGAAAAAAAGAAACAAACAAACATACAGCAACAGAGATACGCCTGCTCGCTAGCTTATGGGGGACTTTGGCTTTCACCTAGAGTTCAATAAATAGCCGAAGCTTAGTAACTTATCATCCTTGTACTTATTCCCGGGCTGCTATGCCGATTTATTATTTGCTCGGCTCGGCCTTGTCTTCGGACTGTTAATTGCAGGGGCACTAACGGACTTTGCATCATCTGGGGCAATGGTTCCGTGTAATTTTGATTTGCCTCCTTCCCGATCCCCCTTTATTCTCAAGTTGATTTTATAACGTATTATTCTATATCAATCTTCCAATTGGTGGCGTTATCACCACCCAGGACGGGATATTGTCAGTGACGGTCTCTTAGCCCTCTAAATTATCCGACATGAATGATACCTGATTGGGCTCTTTCTCTTTGCACTGGCAATGATTCACCTATTCCTGGCACTCTATTGCTGTGGAAATCGATATGCTTGGAATAAATGCCATGTTTCCTTCCGTGTGGTTTGTTAAAGAATGGTCTCTTCGCCTTGTCTCTTTCTAATTTTCTTGAGAGAGGAATGGCTGTTTGCTCATCATATTACGTGCTTTAACCTTGGAAGGTGTCCCCCAAGATTCCAGCACGATTGGATTTTTCTTTTTGTCTTTTTGACATCCCTTGAGATGATATTTCAGATGTCTTTTTAAGTGTCTTTTTACGCGTCAACTTGGATGCGTATCGAAGTCTGTCTAAAATAATGAGCCGCAAACTAGGGCAAAATTCCTACCAAATAACTGTTCCCATATACAATATAATATCTATCCATGAATGTAACTGCCAGTAGGATCAAATTGGCCAGTGATCGCTATGTACCGCAATACTCCTGGAGCCGTACTTTCTTACATAACATCCTTTATGCCAGCATTGGGCCGCTTTCAGCAGGAAGTTGAAGTTCGAAGAGGATGAGGAAGGAACGGCAGCCTCAAAAGCCAACGCCTTCCAACGCAAAATGAAAACAGTCCCATCTTCTGTCGCCATTCATCTTTTATGCATATTCTAGATCGACGTCTCACAGACCATATAATGTGAATGTGAGACTGAAACAAGGCCCGCTATCAAACAACGACCCGTCTGTCATTGCTAAACGGCAGAGACTAACACTGGAGATAAAATATTTTGCACTAAAATGGCTTCGGATACATCTTTCCAAACTATCCTACCACCACCACCACCACCACCACCAAATGCCCGGAGCTTCCCAAATCCTCCAATGCCTGGATATCCCCCCTCGTTGGCAACCTTTGTGACCTAGGTGGGCTTGTGACTCTTTTGTTGGGATTTGCGTTGTCCGGTATGCAAAGTCTGCTTTGTTCTCTCTTTCTGGGTCCGTCGTGCTAATAGATACATGCCTAGGTTTAATGCCCGGCAAGCCTTCCTGAATCACCCACAGAAGGTGATCTCGCAGGAATACCTCCAGCTCAAGGAAGAGAAAGAGAGCCGCCAGCGCCGTTGGTGGCAGTTTTGGGAAAATGGGAGTGAGTGACCCGAGAAGCGCTTGTGGGAAGAGGTCTTGAAAAAGATACATATGCTAACTGATATTGCCTGTCTCCAGCCCGCAATGCCAACTCCCCGCCCCAGGACCCCGCCAGCAACAACCCTGCCTCGCCCAGGCAAGAAGGCCAAGTCGTCGTACAGTCTTCCCAAGAGGGTGGAGAGTGCGGGGAGCAGCGTAAGGTGGAGGAGAATAAGCCCGCCCGTCCCCCTCTTACCATCCTGTGCGACTCATCGGCCGAGTCGACAAACGTGAACCTCCCCCTCACGAAGGCGACGGACTACAAGTCTATTTGGGTGGAGTTTGTCGCCCCATCTCGCAGCCACCACCTACTCCCCGGGGCCCCCAGCAGTCTTTATTACTATATCCAGGCAGCACATCTACATATAGTTGGGCGCTACCTAAAGTCTTTTACTCTTGAAATGCTACAGATCGTATTTGCGTGGCAAAAGGAATCCATTATATTAGCAATAATTCTCAAGCAAAGTAGAGCAGGACGTTTTCACGAGTCTTTCCTAGTGAAACCCCTAAGAATCTTTTGCCACTGGGATTCTGGGTTTGAAAGCTCCTGGCGCTCTAATGGGCAAAAAAAGCAATTTGCCAAATGTATGGCGTAGCCCGAATCCCACTGTTTAACCCTAGTTTCAAAATCTTTGCTTATCTCCTCTTTTTCTTCCTCCGGAAGCTCGAAGCCTCGAAAGCCGATACAACACCAACACTCTATAGTGCAATGACCTATGCCTTTCTTCCGTTTAGATAGATGCCTCTGTTCGCAGCATCCACAACCCCGGCTACAACATCCGCCTCGATCCGAACAATCCTGAACCATTTCTTCGCGCATAAACCATCTGGAATCACGCCTTACGCTATGATAAGCATCTTTGAGGTCCAATCTAAGCACAGATATTGCTCGGTAAAGGGCGTACTCCTTTCTTGGATATTGTGCTTGCGCCTCTTCAAGCTGTTTGTCTGCCTTTTCAAGCTGGGCCCCATTGGACTCGATGGCCATGGCCTTTTGTAGAGCTATAGCCCTATGGTGCAATGTCTCCTCACGCTGCGTTAGCTCGCGTAGAGCGTGCTCGGCAAGAAATAACTTGGTGAGTTTACATCGGACGATGAAATCTGACCCATATTGCAGAATGGTATGATCATCATTTGCGAATTGAAAGGTCGTATTTTTAGGCCTGTTAGAGAATCCCATGATCCTACTGTAGACCTTCCAAGGTTAGTATAAGAATCAGGCGAGAAACACTCAGTGGTACGTACCTCTGTGATAGGACAGACTCGTTATGAAATATGATTCTTCAACAGAATAAGTAAAGTGACTCAAATATGGAGCAGAAAGAATGTGACATGGCAGAGAAAAAGAATTTCCCCAAAGCCTGGACGTATAATGCAGCTTTGTGGCCAGGCCGCTGCCCAAAATAGATTAGTGTACGATTCATAGTATCTAATTGTGACGCAATTAGACATACGAATCGAAGGCGAAAATACACTAAATCTCAAAGAGATCCGATTGTCGGTATGGTAGATATCAATGTTAAACTCATGCTCATAGACCTTAATACAGGGACGAGTCAGAAAAGGAGGATGAGAAGAATAAGCTCAGCGAATGAAGAAGGATGAAGATATGGAGAAGGCGGGTAGGACTCATTGGGATTTGAATATGAATATTTCACAAATCATCAAATGCGAGGGTTAAGAGTCTTGCGAAGTAATTTTTAGTTTTTCACTGTTCAATAATATCATGCGAACTGATGAGCAATCTCTAGATATTTATATTTTGTAGATTGCTACCTGAACTCCTGGCAGCCGAACTAACCCCACATCTTAATTTACCCCGGATTTTACCATCTTTGATTCAGTGGCTTTCTGACCATATACTCAGCTACTTTGTAACACGCACGTCGATCTTTAGTCTACCTAAGGTAACTCGTTCTGGCACATCAACTGGAGTCGACGAGCAGACCGCTTACCGAAGCGTAGAGCAAACTTGAGAATCCATTCGCCGTCGTGCGCGAGCTGACCCCACATTAATGGCTCATGTTCACAGTATCTCTGGCGATTACTGAAATCTCCCAGTCGCTAGAGTCTACCATATGCAGCCTACGGATTGGTCCTCCGGTTTTTCGAAATCAGAAATGTGGCAGGGTATCTTTTTGCCGCAGCCTTCTACAGAGCCATTGTCCCGATAAAAGTCTACGGGTAGATGAATTTGTTTTGGTTGGGTGCAGGTCCTCCAGTGTTGATCATCTTATTTCCCAGAGACGAGCCATTTGCAGGTGATGAAGACGGAGCAAAAGGCAAGAGCGAAATCGAGTGGAAACAAAGTACATGTAATGGGATTGCGCGTATTTCTTTGCGACACAGGTCAGGCCTTTCATGACAATCGGGTGCTATTAATCTACCTGATTGTGCTGATGACAGGTTTCGGCATGTGCTGCCATGGGGGTCAATACTTTTACTCAACCTTGCTCAAGGACTAGGTTGGAATGGACGCCACTCAAACCACACTTATTACTGTCGTGGGTCAGATAGGCGCCTTGATCGGCGAATGCACAATTGTAATTCGGTAGATGTTCCAATTACCTTGATCATATCTTGTGTGCTGGGAGACGTCCTTATCCCTGCATACAGCCTCCCACGAAATGTGTCGCTTGTAGCCTGTGCGTCTTTTGGGCAATTTTTTCTTGGTTATGCCTGGCGCCCGATGCCAATTTACCTCTTCGAGCTTTCCCCAGTCGCAATTCGCTCCCTCGTTATCGAACTGACCTACTAGCTTTGAGCCCCCGTGTCTTCCCCAATCCAATCTATCGTCAGCGAGCGATTTCTGTTACCACCCGGGCCCAATAACAAGGTACGGTCAGGTTATAGCAAGATCATCGGAATCTTCATGGAGCGGCCTGAACATTCATGCTATTTTTTGTCTTCTGGGGATCTGAGATGTCCCAGGAAGAGCGAGACAAAGAAGCCGAGACTGCTCTACATTTGGAGAGACTGCGCGCACAAGGTGTGAGTTTGGCGGAAATTGGGCAGCATCGACTCTGGAAAAGGGGTGAGATAAATGACGGGTGTGGTGCAACAGAGGAGAAAGTTCAGAATGATCACGTTGTGCAGAAAATCAGTAGATACTAAGTTGTATGTTGTTTGTTGCATGTTGTAGATAGTTGACCATCGAATGCCAAGAAATATAAAGAGCCCCGCGATTCACCGGAGATTCGCTTCGGGTGGTACGGGCTCTTGTCATTGCTCCGATCTACTTCAAGTCTGACCTCTTCCCTTTATTACCTTCGTGATCTTTGTTTTTACTGTACTCTACCTGTACATTCTTGATCCTATCGGTACCATGACGCAAGAATCCTCGCAAGTCGCGCCCCGCTACCTGACCGGCGATAAGGCCGGCCTCCAGGAGTTCCTGGCCAAATTTGATGTAAGCATATGTTTTTGATCGCATTGATCTACCAGAGATGCCCTATTTACTGACTGGATTGTGTACAGGTATTCCTCTTCGACTGTGATGGTCTGTCCCCCGTGCTCGCTCTATCCCGGCGATCCGTCCGCGGAGGTCCCCCGCAGCGACCCAACCGCGTCGCAACAACTGCTGAGACGATGATAATTTAGGCGTTTTATGGTCCGGCGATCACCTCTTCCCCGGAACAGTGGAAACACTTGAGCTTCTCCGAAATAAGGGTGCGCATTAAATATTCAGTCGGCAAAAAGCGGAGATTGATAATCCCCGCAGGAAAGCAAGTGGTCTTCGTGACGAATAACAGCACCAAGTCGCGCGCAGACTACCGCAAGAAACTCGAAGGCTTGGGAATTCCCAGTACAGTGGTCAGTGCTACTACCGATTACTATCTCAGATCACCCAGGACCTAGTGACTCACAACCAAATAGGAAGAGATCTTCTCCTCCTCATACAGCTCCTCTATATACATTTCCCGCATCCTCCAGCTCCCCGAAAACAAGCGCAAAGTCTACGTTATCGGCGAGACAGGCATTGAGCAAGAGCTCCGCTCCGAGAACGTCTCATTCATTGGCGGCACAGACCCTGCATACCGCCGCGACGTCACACCCGAGGACTACAAGAAGATTGCGGCGGGCGATGAATCCATTCTAGACCCCGAAGTTGGTGTCGTGCTCGTCGGCCTCGACTTCCACATGAACTACCTCAAGATCGCGTTGGCGTACCACTACATCAAGCGCGGAGCGGTCTTCCTCGCCACCAACATCGACTCCACCCTGCCGAGCTCCGGGGCTCTGTTCCCCGGTGCTGGCTCCATGAGCGCGCCGCTGATAATGATGCTGAATAAGGAGCCAATCGCACTCGGCAAACCGAGCCAGGCTATGATGGATTCCATCGAGGGCAAGTTCAAGTTTGATCGTAGCCGGGCCTGCATGGTTGGTGATCGTGCGAATACGGATATTCGCTTTGGACGTGAGGGGAAGCTTGGTGGTACGCTGGGTGTTTTGACTGGTGTCTGTTCCAAGGAGGACTTTGTTTCTGGCGAGGTTAGGCCTCATGCTTACTTGGATAAGCTTTCTGATCTGCTGGGCTCGGAGTAGAGTAGAGCGGAGCGGAAGATATGTATTAGATGCATTCATTAGATGTTGAAATTAGAGAAATACACATACAAATCAATCGATTTCTCATCTATATCCGATGTCTAGCTGCTTAGCACATTTTCCTGTAGGTTCGGAAGAGAATGGAAGTAAAACAGTGAGGATAGGGGCGGGATATGGTTGAAAATGAAGATGAATCAACATGAGTAGAACAGTGAGGCTGAAGATGGTCAGGTTCAACGGAGGTTTAAATATGTAAAACATATATTTCTCAGATTGACCCACAGGGCAGATTTGTTGAATGGTATACTCCGTACTGAGTATGGAGTATACCCAGCAGCATGTAAATCTAAATCTTGTACAAATCAATTGGATCTATCTATTTGAAATAGTACCAATGTAAAGATCAAACTGTAAAAATGTCTAATCTGTTCCATCCCTGCAGATACGTAAATCCCTCATTCATTTGTAAGAGAAACAGAAAGAAAGTCTGTTCTCTAATGATCTATCAACTTCCAGTTGACTGAAAGTAGGCCGAATTGGAATGCCAGTGTGTGATTCGGGAGGATGCAGTTTCTATGCAGAAACTGTTGACGAAGGTGCATCGACGGCGCTAATCTTGGTTCAGTAGGAGTCGAGTATCTTGGCATGTGATTGCGTTCAATCTTGGTGTTAATAGGTCATGATCATTTAATTTTAGCTATAGCAAAGATGCACGTAAATTAGTAAAAAGGCCTGAGCGAGGTTCGAGTCTGTTCAAGTGGGTGGGTGATGCTCAGCCTTAATGGGGATTCGGTACTCCGTATTCCGTACGGAGTATAATATTTTCTATAGCCGACAAAATTCAAGCACTATCAACATTTGGAGAATGAGACTTGAATCAAGGTTGTAGTCAGTAGCTATCTGTTTCACGGGCTGTGAATTATAGAGCAATCGATTACTCCAGAGATGAGTGCCCGAGGACTGATATCCTCGTATTGCTTTCTGTATTGCGTGGAGATAGACTAGGGACCCCGCCAATAGCATATTCCATCTTGCCGCCCGCTGCTGCGCTACGTGTTCACCACGAGGCTGAGCCTTCTGGGTTGGTGACGGTTCCTCTCTTTGCCTCCCTGATGTATACCTTCCAAGGTTGTAAGCTTTTTCTCTCTTCCCTTCAAACCATCTCCCACTTTCACTGTTAAAGAACCATACGCGATAAGTGTACCATATCGTATCACTGACTCAGAGTCAAACCAAGCAACATAGCAAGCTTCGACGCTTTTTGCTCGATTCGCAGACATGTCAGACCCAGCAAACTACACCGTGGGCTGGATTTGCGCTTTGCTCGTGGAATACATTGCTGCACAAGAATTCCTCGATGAGGAGCACGACAAACCCAGCTTTGTGTCGCCAAATGATACCAACGACTATACATTAGGCAAGATGCACGAGCACAATGTTGTCATCGCCGTCTTGCCTGACGGCGAATATGGCACCGCTTCCGCGGCCAATGTAGCAACAAACATGCTGAGCACCTTCCACAATGTTAGGATAGGCCTTATGGTCGGCATCGGTGGTGGCGCACCAAGCGAAAAGCATGACGTTCGTCTAGGCGACGTCGTGGTCAGTGCGCCTCGTGGTGGTCAGGGTGGTATTTTCCAGTACGACTTTGGCAAGTCGATACAAGGCCAAGGATTTCAGCATACGCGGTTCTTAAACCAACCACCAACTGTACTTCGCACTGCGATGACGGGAATACAGGCGCAATATAAGAGAAAGGGGCATAAGCTCATAGAGGCCATTAACACTATCCTCAACACGAACGTTCGGTTACGCAGCGAATACGAACGTCCAGAATCAAGTACGGATAGGCTCTTCCAGCCCTCTATCAATCATGAATCAGATTGCAGCGCTGCATCCTGTGCAAATGATGCCTCAAACTTGGTTCTACGGCATAAGCGGTCTGAACATGAGGATGATCCTGCAATTCACTATGGTCTAATTGCTTCTGCCAACCAGCTAATTAAGGATGCTTTGATTCGAGATACACTAGCGGCGGAGAAGGACGTTCTCTGTTTCGAAATGGAAGCAGCCGGGCTGATGAACACTTTTCCTTGTTTGGTTATCCGGGGTATCTGTGACTACTCGGATTCACACAAAAACAAGAATTGGCAGGGTTATGCAGCGATGGTCGCAGCTGCATTCGCTAAAGATCTTCTCCAGAGGATACCTCTAAGCAGAATTGAGGCCGAGGAGAGGATTAGTGTCATTTTATCTGGTCAGTCTAAACAGTCTTATCATCACCGCGTAAATATATAATAACGTACCGGATAATACAGATGTGCTAGAAAGTACCAACCTGAATTCAGATCGAGCATACAAACAACGAGAGCGACACCAAGATGAGCATAAAACAAGAGCTTTGACGGAGCAGCAACAACGCTGTCACCAAATTTTCAAGATATCAAATTACATAGAGCAGAAGAACATCAATCCAACACGAGCAGCAGGAACCTGTCAATGGGCGTTACAGAGCTCTGAATACATTCGTTGGTCAGATAGCAAGCGCAATGATCTTTTGTGGGTCTCAGCCGATCCAGGCTGCGGGAAGTCTGTACTGGCCAGATCAATCATTGATGATCCCTTGCTAGCTACAAGTCCAGCAGTGACAATGTGTTTCTTTTTTTTCAAAGACAACGAAGAACAAAACCGTCTTGATACAGCTTTGTGCTCTATACTGCATCAGCTCTTTGATCAGCGGCCCCATCTCTTATCCTATGCTATAACCTCCTGGGAAAAAAATGGAAAAGGGCTCCGACAGGAGGTTGATAAGCTATGGCGAATCTTTATAGCGGCAACATCATCTGACGTATCGTCTCAAACGATATGTATTTTTGATGCACTTGATGAATGCAGTGAGATTGATCAGGATCGATTGATTCAGAAGCTCCAGCTCTTCCACCGCCAGCAACATTCATCAACACAAGATACCTCTTTGAAATTTTTAGTCACCAGTCGTCCCTACATCGACATCCAGAATCTTTTTCGAGCGACTATAGATTCTTTCCCACATCTACACCTGAAAGGGGAAGAAGAAAATGATCAAATCAACAAGGAAATAGATCTGGTAATAAAAATACGAATGAAAGAGCTAGCCGAAACAGCATCATTATCATGGGATATACAGCAGCGACTCGAACAACAACTGTTACAAATGGAACATCGCACATATCTTTGGCTACATTTAGCTATAGATCACATTCGATCTACATTCGAGGATAGCCTTTTTCCTACCTCGGAATCAATCGAAATGATACCTTCTTCAGTCAGCGAGGCATACCAGAAGATTCTTAGTCGAGTGCCTCCTAACCAGAAGAGCATTGTGAAAAAGGTCTTGCAAATCATTATCGGAGCACGGCGGCCTTTGACAATAGCAGAAATGGCTGAAGCGCTGGATTTAGCTCTATCTTCACATATACAACCACAGCCTGCAGCACAGGCTAGAATCGATCCACTACAGCTAGAGAGGAAGCTCCGTCATTTATGCGGGCTTTTTGTTTTCGTCAAAAACTCCAAGATCTACCTCATTCACCAGACAGCGAGGGAATTTCTCATCAAAAAGGCAAATTCGGACGATGTCAACTTTTCGTACTCGTCCGCCCTTAATGATATTGAGAAGCAAATGGCCCTGCTATGTGTGCAATACCTATTATTGGAGAACTTGGGAGGCAATACCGCTGAGCAGCCCGCTTTTCAGAACTTTTTAGAATATTCAGCCGTACACTGGGCTTCTCACGTACGACACATGACTTTCACTTCAGGCCAAGAAATGGCTGGTCTATTGAATCGATTATATGATACAAGAGGAAAGCGATTTGCACTATGGTTTCCCATCTTGTGGAAAGCAGTGGCACCATACCTGGAAGTACCTCAAATGAGTGCTCTGCATCTGGCAGCATTTAACGGTCATGAGCAGCAAGTTAGCTCAATACTTGCTATAGATAAAGGGACTTTGAATACACCAGATACTACCGGAACATACCCGGTCATATGGGCCTCACTGAACGGGCACGAGAAAACCGTACAGATACTGCTAGAGCAAGGAGCCGATATCCACGCTCAGGATGGACTTTACGGGAATGCCCTCCAGGCTGCTTCTAATGGAGGACACGACAAGATTGTACAGATACTGCTAGAGCAAGGAGCCGATATCAACGCCCAAGGTGGACTTTACGGGAATGCCCTGCAGGCTGCTTGTTATAGAGGACACGACAAGATCGTACAGATACTGCTAGAGCGAGGAGCCGATATCAACGCCCTGGCCCAGGATGGACATTACAGGAATGCCCTCCAGGCTGCTTCTAATAGAGGACACAACAAGATTGTACAGATACTGCTAGAGCAAGGAGCCAATATCAACGCCCAAGGTGGACTTTACGGGAATGCCCTCCAGGCTGCTTCTAATAGAGGACACAACAAGATTGTACAGATACTGCTAGAGCAAGGAGCCAATATCAACGCCCAAGGTGGACTTTACGGGAATGCCCTCCAGGCTGCTTCTAATGGAGGACACGACAAGATTGTACAGATACTGCTAGAGCAAGGAGCCGATATCAACGCCCAAGGTGGACTTTACGGGAATGCCCTGCAGGCTGCTTGTTATAGAGGACACGACAAGATCGTACAGATACTGCTAGAGCGAGGAGCCGATATCAACGCCCTGGCCCAGGATGGACATTACAGGAATGCCCTCCAGGCTGCTTCTAATGGAGGACACAACAAGATTGTACAGATACTGCTAGAGCAAGGAGCCAATATCAACGCCCAAGGTGGACTTTACGGGAATGCCCTCCAGGCTGCTTGTGCTAGAGGACACGGCAAGATTGCACAGATGCTGCTAGAGCAAGGAGCCGATATCAACGCCCAGGGTGGAGAGTACGGAAATGTCCTCGAGGCTGCTCGTCAGAATGAGCATTACCATATTGTGCAAATCCTCCAGAAATATCATTGTGCCGATCAGTCGACTTATCAATTTCCCCTTCCAAAAAGGCGTAAGGTTTCATCAGGATTTCACATTGCCTAGCTCAACTCAAGTCCCCGTGATACCTCGATTTTGAAGTTGTGCTGCTCTCTCGGCAGTTTTGCCATGATTCCTGCTCTCTGTACTGAGATACTGAGATACATCGTCTATGATCCAGCCATTTATACAATAGCGAAACAAAAAGCATACATTGTGGAGAAATCTACTATTTTTTCTATCGATTTACCTTTGTATTTTGCTATTGCGGCATAAATGAGCTGTCTATTCTACTACTACAAACCACATGGTTAGAGAGGTAGGTGCTTGTCTATTCGGAATCTGATTGATAGAAGGGGAGGCATAAAGGGAGGGGACTTAGATTTAGTTAAAGAGGAGTTATTTTCGACGTCGTTTTAGTCGCTAGTAGAAACAAGGGGAATAACTATGTCAGTTAAGCGTTCATATTAGGAGCAGAAGATAATAGGAGCAGAGGATAATGTTGGGCGGTTGAGGGGCGTCTAAAGCAGCCGTTTCTGGCCTCAAAGTCATTTTCGGCGGCAATCCTACAGGTCCTCAGTCCTCAAATTCTAGTTGTAATTTCGACCCTTCGGAATTGGACAGTGGGGCGGGACTCTGAACATTTCACATTTCAACTATAATTTCAATAAAATCCCACGGGAGAAAGTAAGGACCAAGAGATATTTATGTTGGGGTCTTGTGGAAGAAAGGAAGAAGGAACTATGTTTGCAATCGGGCTATCTCAACCATCTAGGCAGCTCATCATCATTTGCTCTGGTCATTGTTTCAACTTGGATCTCAGCTATTTCCTCTAGGGCTGTTCCTATGACCGGGTACATCCATGGATGTAGATCTATCTGGAATTGGTGATTGCGATAGTGCAAGCCGGAGGAGGGATTTGTTCGGCGTTTCGGCAAAATGTTTCTTCGGCGTCATCTGTGTCAGCCTCAATTTTCACACCTACAGTGAAAGCATCAATGGAAACAGAGGATTTTCCTCGATCATGGTTGGGCGTCTAAGGGCTACGAACCTGAAGTTACTCTTATACTATTTTACACAATAGATCCTGTTCTTTATCATGTGAGTGTCTTGAAATATCATACTCAGAAATAAAGAACCTTCAAGAAGAGTGTTATTCTGAATATAAACCAAATCAAGTCTTCAGTTGAGTAAAGTCGTATAGGTGGCTGACTGAGGGATGTAATTTTCATGTATATTACAGGAAACATTAATACACACGACTTCGCTCCCCCCTTCTGCTTCCTACCAACGAGGCTGTCATTTGGGATGAGGACATGACCAGGCGATACCGGAGTTTTTGAAGAAACTACCACCGTCTACTTCTACTACTCCTACATATGTACTTCTGGTCATGAGCTTGTTCGCCAAGCGTCCTGGTCGCCTTGGGGGCACCAAGTCCAAGACTGGGTGCGACACATGCAAGTAAGTCAGTTGGTCCCCATAATATCGACCAGTTGCAGTATTTGACATTCGTTCCCAGAATTCGTCGTGTGAAGTGTGGTGAGGAGAAACCACACTGCCTGAGATGTACCAGCACAGGACGGCGGTGCGATTATAGCACCCGCCCTCTAAAGACTATTGGGCGGCCCCAGCCGGACCTCACGACCTTCTCATGTCAGAGAACGCGAGAGCGTCGTGCTTTTGAATATTATTTCCACAAAGCTGCCCCATCACTTTCAGGGGTCCTGGATCAGGCCTTCTGGAGAGGCTCGGTCCTCCAAATCTGCCGGGCAGAGCCACTTGTTTGTGATGCGATCATCTCGCTCAGCGCGCTCTACGAACGGCCTCCCATTCACGAGACGTCGCCATGGCTGCTTCTAAATGATCCAGCTACGGTGAGACATCAGCACCATCGCGAGGCGCTGGTTTGGTATTCGCGCTCGCTGGCTCTCCTACAGCAACGTATTAACCAGGGCACAGCGGACCTGACGGTGTCCTTGATCAGCTGCATTCTCTTCATTGCCATCGAGCTCTTACAGGGGAGCCGCAAGGGTGCTCAGGTCCTTTACAAACAAGGCGCCCAACTGATTTTTGGTGCTTCGTCAACAGCAGCCTCGACCATCGCCGTCCTCGGGCCCATCTTCCGCCGTTTGGGAACGTGGGTTTTAATCACCAATGGAATATCAGAAGAAAGCTGGAGTCTTCATTTGGCTGTTCCAGATGAGCGCTTCACTTCGACCGAAGAGGCAAGGAACGTTCTGTGTAGCATTGTAGCCGAAATGAAGGCCCTCGACATTGACTCCAAAGCGTATATACGCCGAACAACAGATAGTCGGCTGCACGAGGTATCAGGGCTAGTGGCCAGACAACAGCACCTGAAAACCCGACTCGTCCAATGGTATCGCCTCTTTACATACTTGAAATCAATACATGGCTCGAACGTCGACGGTGCAACTGCGCTTCTTCTAATGACACATACGAGCGTCTTCATCGAAGCAGAAGCCATGCTGGATTTTGATCAGGGTGTATACGACGCCTACGAATCTGAATTCGCCCACATCATCGAGTTGGCCCCCACCGCGGTTGCGTGGACACGCAGCTCAGAAGGGAAACAACCGCCATTTACGTTCGAAATGGGTGTATTCCTCCCACTTTTCATTACAGGGCTAAAATGTCCCTTCCCCGAGCTACGCCGCCAAGCATTACGGTACATGGCCGAGGCTCCCCCGGCACAAGGGCTGTTTATGTGCACACCCGCTGCTCACATCGTGGCTATTCTCATTGGGCTAGAGGAGAACCCCGACAACCTGCCGGAAAAGGTCTCTGAAGTATATGAACTGCTGGCCAAACCAGGGCATATCCCACCAGCTCAGTATCGCACATGTGATTTCAGTGTGTCGTCAGTTATGGATGAAGAGGGTGAGACGCGGAATTGGTTGAATTATACACTCCACCACTTTGACGCAGATGGGAGGATACAGGTCATAGAGAAAACGGTGCCATTCCCTACATGAGGTGATTAGCATAACAATATTTTATGATGATACGATCTCAACTTCCCTATCGATCGCGGAGCCCTGAGCTGTCTGAAAGATTCGAAGTATGCCTTTGTCATGCAATACCTACTAGGCAACCTCATGTAGTTGTTTTGAGGCCCCTAGTAAGGTAATCCACAGAAACTTTGGAAACCAAGCCCTCTTTGCGCTTGTCTCTATCTACTCGTTGCAAGACAAATATTCGGAGTTCGCCTCTTTGCTTGATTTACTCATATCACTTCATTTCAAACTAGATGACAAGTTGCTTTCGAAAAGACTGTTCTGAATTGATGAACCTATTTCCCAAGGTACATTTATACACGCCGACATTTAGGACCCATCTTATTCGGCATTATATGGACCCAGCGATGAAGGACCTTTGAGGTCAAAGTCGTTCAATTCCAACCAAATATTATAATTCGACCCAGCCACGAATTCGAGGGACTCGGGAGTCAAAGCCGAACTTCCATCTTGTGTCTTCTCGATATCCCATATTTTCTCTCCAATTTGGCGACAAGCAGACGAAGAGTATTCCATGTTTTGTTCCTTTTCTGAATCGTCATCTCCGAGGACATAATGGATATCAGCTTCTGAATTGGCGACAGGCGCGGATGGCGTAGTATGCGCTGAAAGAGAATTGTGCATGATGATGACTTCAGTCAAGATATCTACTGCCTGGAGGAGCTTTTCGGAGCATTCATGGTGAAACCGTTCTGCACTGAGTCCATCAACGGTGTCTCGACGGGGTCTTGCAATGTCTTTGGTAGAACGTAGCTCGAGTTGTTCTAAAACGTTTGGCGGCAACATATCCATCCATAGCCCAACTTCATCGTCCACGCTATGTGATGAGCCTTCACTAGGACATTTTCTTTGCTGTGGACTGGTACGTGGGGAATCCAAGCTTCGAGGTGGGCTTTTCCTTTTCCGTGATGATACACTAGCGCTATTTGATTGGATGTCGGTGCACTTGGGGTCCGGTGTTGCAGAATTTTGTAACGCACATGGCGAGGTTGGTGTGTGATCTGTCCTAGCTTCGCTAGGAATCCATGGGCTTGGAGCTGCTGCTTTCTTTCTCCTTCGCGGTGGGGCAACGCATTCCTTCATATCAAGTTTGCAATTGGTGCATGCGGTACCTTGATTTAGCGCGTCGCATCGCACTTTTCGTTTGTGGCAGGCGTAACACGCCCATTTGGCTCGTCTCGGCCGGAACTTCTTTTCGCTTCGTTGGCATTGCTTTGTCTCGTTCCCACCGGCGGATTCCCGAGTAGGTTGGAAAATGTATTCGGTACCCATGATGGCACTTGATGTCTGTCGCTGATCATCTCTGTGACTCTTTGATCACCTGCTTTCTATGCTTTATTTATTTACGGCGCTCATCGTTGTTCTTCGGTACTCGGGAGCCGACTACCGAGATCTGTTATAGTGCCTTGGAATCACCGAAACGCCGAGATCTCACCATCGGCGTGACCAAATAGACAGTGGACTTGCTGTTTTGTTTATACCCTTGATGTTGTTAATTGTGTGTCACTGTTGGTGTTTATGGGACATGAAAGGATGCTTATAGGTCCATTAATACAAGATCAAGTTCATAAACATATTTGAAACTTAGATACAGAATGGTGTTCATAAACAACTTCAACAAAATCTTCTCGTCGCAGTGAATCCATAAATCATCAGCGAATGCGCACAGCGTACCTGCGGGCAATATTCCCGCTTTCTGTAGCACACTTCATACCCCGCGAAGGACGACATTCTGACGCGTTTGGCTGTTCTATGACAAGACCCTTTCATATAAATATTTGTGCTCTTCAAGCAATACCAGCCAGGTCCCATTTAAATATTAGAGACGGTAGCCATGCACCAACATCATCAATTCTACCCGAGGCACTCGGTGATTCTCTGCAGATCTCGGCAGTTATACTCGCATTACGCAAGGGAGATGAACGCCCGGTCAAACCTAAAACCCTAAAAACGACGTAACTAGCCATCTTTGGTATACCAGCCTGTTAACTAAGAAGCTCCCTTGGGGCCCATGGCATTGAATTAGGCCAAGGTTCATTCTACAACTCGATAAAGTCGAAATCACTATTCATGCCCCTTTTAGGGTTTAATTGTTGCTTGCTTCTCGCATCCTAAAACTCAATCCTTCGGTTGGCCAGAAAAGAACTCGTTATAGAATCACTTACTGCATAGGGATGTCACCATCCCTATCGGGAATAGCACTAGCGAGGGCAGCAACAAGGATCCCCTATATCGATATGTCAGTTGTGTTACAAGAGATTCTCCGGGATCAATACTCACGATGTCGATTTGTTCAAGAAGGCTCATTGGGTCGATATTGCGGTCCTTAAGGATATCGTATCAGCAAAGAATCAAATAGCTTTAGCTTGGGGTATATTTTACGCGGCAAAGTGTCTCGATGGCAGATCTCCAAAGGGCGAGTAGTGGACAACTACGCTGAAGGTGTCTGGGGTCGTGGCAGAGGTAACAAGCTAAGGTAGTGCTGCTCTATAGATTTCATCTTCTTGTCAGTCATTGGTCAAAAGGGATTCGTTCTTGGACTGGTATATATAATATGAGAGTGACATGCTAAAGAACAAGATGAGAAGATAGGAGGTATCAGATGCAGTTAAAATATCACCAAATACATCTTCCAGCAGTGGGAGACATGTAATTCGTAGTAGAGTGGTGCTTACCTGGTGGTGATGTTGGCTTTGGTGCTGGTGTTGTTGGATTCGGTAGTGATGCTGCTGTCTATCATCATGGCCGGCTCCTTGGTTAGTTCTACCAGCACGTCGGGGATCACGACTAGCTCCGCGCTGTCTGGTAAGGTATGTAGAGTCCATATCAAGACGATGAAAGATATAGATCCCGATAAAGAATCAGCAGAATATCTTAGTGTTAAGACTTGGAAATTCCAGGCTTTTGTCGGGAGATGAGAGTTGGTAGAAAGTGAGAATCAAAAGGAGGCAAACTTTTAAATCTCATGGTTGGTTTGAAACAGAAGAGAGAGATGAGCTCCTCTAGTCTTCTATGGTTTCTCTTTACCAAGCATTTTGTTTAATATTGCCGGTATTTATCTCTTGCTTTATTGCTGCTACAATGAACCATAGCCTTGGTCTATAATATAGAACATTTACTCCACGCCTTTTTCCAAGTCTGCATTGTTATTTATTGGCCCCAGGAGCTAGCATAAAAAAACGTGGAAGGGTATCATGATCATTCCATTCGAACAAGATCTGAGTGCTAAAAAAAACCGAGTATAACGCCTCTAACATAGGCCGTCCTTGTCCCGAACGCCATCACTTTTCAATCAAGTATTCGGGGACTCTCACTGTTGACCATGAGGGTCACCGAGATTTGATAAAAGAATGCTACTCAATTTCCACGCAGGACTCCAGCAATGCGTAATGACAGGTCCAACATGGAAAGATGCTCATCAGACCCGTCAACCAACCGCTTGTCCATCTCCGAGAAGAGCATGACAATCTTGTTTTTCTGGATATCGGGGATTGCCTCGTTGAACACTACACGTCGGTATAACTAGAGAAGGTCAGCAAAAAATATCGAGAATATGAAGAGAAGAAGGACAAACCTGTCCAACAAGCTGCGTAGCACTCCAGCCATCAGCCACAAGGTCCGTAATCACCCTCGAGACAGCCTCATAGACTGACCCACCACTCTTGGGCTGCATAGCCTCCACAAGAGAATCCAAAATATCCTCCGGCAGCACACCGGCAATTTCTTCAATAGTGCGAACCGTAATAACACTAGAATTGCTACCGACATCCATCATCTCGGCATCATCATCAGCATCCTTCACAGCAGGCGGCTTCGTAGCACCGACCAAGCGCGCCGCACTCTGCAGATACGTGATAGCACGACGCAAATCACCCTCACCGCACCGGATAAGCGTATCGACAACGCCATCCTCAAGCTGCAAACCCTCCTGCTCCGCAATATGTGTGATCCGATCACCAGCAGCGCTATTATCCAGCATCTTGAATCGGAACTTGCTGCAACGGCTAGCAAGAGGCTCGATGATGCGCGTGACATAGTTGCAAACAAGACAGAACCGCGTGATCCTACTGTATGTCTCCATTGTGCGGCGCAGAGCGGACTGTGCGTCTTGCGTCATGCTGTCGGCCTCGTCGAGGATGATGATCTTGAATGGTGGACATGGGTACTGTGCGCGGTAGGCGGCGTCTAGGCCTGTTGGTTGGGAGAGCTGGGCTCGGGCGAAATTCTTCACTTTGTCGCGGACAATGCCGATACCGCGCTCGTCGGAGGCGTTGAGTTCTAGGATTCGGGAGCGGTAAAGGGCGGGCCCGAAGAGGGATTTGGCGAGGGCGAGGATTGTGGATGTCTTTCCTGTACCGGGGGGTCCGTAGAAGAGCATGTGGGGGAGCTGCTTAGTGTTATTTCATTGTTTCAATTGTTCGGGGCTGGGTGGTTTACGTTTGAAGCTTGCAGAGTGCGTCGCAAGACTTTAGTCGTGTGGTCTTGAGCAGCGACATCATCCAGGGTCTTGGGGCGACTATTTAATATTAGTCAAATGCTCGGGGAGCTCGAAATAAAGCATTGACTTACTATTTCTCAACCCACGGCTGGAGTCGAGTTGAGTCTTCCTTGTTGTCGCCAGCCTTAAGCTTAGAGCTGCTGGATGCGGCAGCGGCAGCGGCACGAGCCTTATTATTAAAAAAAGAAGCAGCCATTGTTGTTGAATATCCCGAAATCAGCAAAGTCAGGGTTATCTCGAGAGCTGGTCCGCGATGTGTTGAAGATCTCTCTCTGACGCCCTCCACAATCAAGACGCGTCTCCACGTGACACGCGCAGCACTTAAACACATCGACCAATGAGAGCAACTCACTGGCTAGGTATACTTCAACCCCATCACCGCCGTCAATGCTGGTCTTATAAACTACAAATATCAAGGTTGCAAGGGTCATGATTGCATGTTATCTCGTTAATGCTTGAATCAGTATCTATAGCTCATCTCGCACCGGTTCCTCCATTCCGGCCTCAAACATCCTCTTTTTGGTATTCCGGGGAAGCTCTGCTTGTCTGGCCCTCTCCTCCGGTGTGACATCGTCAATATCTACGCTCGTTTGTTTCTCTTTCTCAACCATGTCGCCAATTTCGTCAATCACACGATTGCTGTCGATTGGTGCTGACGGCTCTTGCTCCCAGGCAGTGATACTGGCTGTCGCGGTTCCTGTTGTAGCGGCCGTGGCCATTTGATGAATGGCCGTAGAGACATCAGCCGAGAGGGACTGAGAAGCAGACTGCACAGCTGTAGTGGACAGCCCGGCTGCACCTAGTGTTCCAAACGCAACTCGAGCAATGAGCTTCATAGGCAGCCATACAAGCCACCAAAGAGGCCCGTAGAAGACACGTCGGAAGAGAAGCCACCCAATTGTCCCAAGGAGAACATAGAAAGCAGTCTCAAGATACCATGTGTCGGACTTTTGAGAGCGGAGAAGAGAGTTGGCGAGACTGCGGGATGAAGAGAGAAGTGTGTCAAGACCACTATAGGACTCGGACAGAGATGAGATTGCGGCGGTGGATTGTTCTGATTAAAATATGTTAGTTTCTGGTAGAGCCAGGGAAAAGGAAAGGTTTACTCACCAAGTGTTGATTGGGCAAATTGGCTGCGGGAGAGCTCCGCCTGCATGAGTTGATGGGTTCTGCGTAGCGCAGATGTCACGTCGTTCGAGGCATTCAAAACAAGGTCATCCTGAGTGAACTTCTCAGTGGGCTGCTTCTTCTCCGAAGAGTGCGATCTCGACAGCAGCAACTCTCTCTCCTTCCGCTTGGCGAGTTCGGCATTCCGCTTCGCTTGTAATTGGGCAGTTCGAAATTCACCTCGTGTTCTGTAGAGCTGTTTAGCATGTGGTGCATATGTAGACTACCCAGCGGACTATGGGAAGAGTATCTTACCTCTTGAGATCCTCGGCCAATCGTCCTGCCATAGAAATAACCCGCTCCTTATCAGCCTCCTTATGTCCATGCGCAGCAGATGTCTTGCGCTTGCTATCTGAACCAGTTTCCAGCGCTTCAACCTCCACACGCAGCAGCTCTAACTCTTGCTCCGCTTCCTTCAGGCGGGAATGTATCTCACTTCCAAGCTCCAGGCGGGCTTCATCGCCCTGTCCAATAGAAGCAGTGAAATCGCGCAATCGATCCACTAGGGGTTGTATTTGTCCTAGGGAAGTCGAGAGCTCTTTCACGCGCACCTGGAGAGCTGTCGTGGGGGACATCTTGCGATAAGAGTATTGGTTATTCGATGTGACGCATTCAAGTGCTGTCTGTTCGGGGGTGTTGAAGGAATTTTTCTGGAAGTAGACGCTAGCGGAGAATAATCTGAGTTATTTGAAGCAATAAGTTGGTTCATAAGTGTTGAGTTGTTCAGCTCAAAGTTGCCATGTAGACAGGCGTCATTCGGCATTGTGTTTGCATCCGAGTCAAACATGCCCCATTTCCTTTCAACCGCAATTCGCAACGGAGCCTCTGGTGTGATGAGAACTTCCAATTGAACTTGCGCCATTACCTGTTAGATTTGTCGCAGACCAACTGAGATCTACGCAATATTCTCCTTGGACCAGTCTTCCACTAAGAGTCATCTGCCCAACCGCAGCGGAACCAACCCCAGCAAACACTACCTTTAAAAAACTTCCCGCCGGCCCTCATCCACTCAGGTACGTAACAATGAAATCAAGACAGGGCTACCGGATATCACTCGGTCTTGGGAGATAAACAAACTAACCAATCTACCAGTCCGCAAAACCTCTTCCACCCCGCTCACCACCAACCCCAAACCGCAACAATGACCATCCCCATCGCCACGATAACCACCTTCCGGACCGCCTACAACCCCTTCTCGCGCGCATCCCGGCCATGCCGCCTCTTCCTGGGCATGCTGCGCACACCAGACACCATCCCAACCAGCAGCCCGACCCACATCGATATCAAGGTCAAGCAATTGCCGCGCGACTCTACCGAGTCACCGACCATGACTGTCGGGTTTAAGGGCGGCAAGGAGCTTACGCTGGATGTTGGAAAGCGCGGGCTTAAGATTGGCGATGTTATTGAGGAAGTGTCCCGTGTTGGCAGAGCTCTGCAGCGGGAGGCCAGCTTGAAGAACTAGTGGAACGTTTTATTGTTCGAGCTGTGCATTCGTGTATTATATTACCTATCATTTGTTTCATCTGACGATTTTTGGCGCTGTTGGGCATATTGGAATACTTGAGTTATTCTTACTTTGGTAGAGAACATAGGCAGTTTATGCTTCATACCTGATATTGGGCTTACTGGAGTAGATTTGAAGATCTTGCACGAGTTGATGTTGAAAGTGATCATCATTTCTTTGCTATCCAGTTGCTCGGATTTGCATTTTCCCGTCAGAGACTACTATTTTTTTACGCTGTGGTGGTAACAAATTAAGTATTGGGAGCAATTCATTGACAATTCAAAAATGAGTCCTCTCCTCGGGAAATCGAAGAACGTAATCCCCGCCGGGCAGACGATCATAGGCTTGAAAGTTTTGGTTAGTTTTATATTTCTCTTGCAGAAATTCTCATTTATACTGCGGCACCTGAGATGAAGAACCACTTGTCAATGCTGCCATCAATGGGAGCAGGGGGCAGAGTCTCGTTGCGGGGAACGGCAGCGAGCTGAGCCTGGTCAACACGGTCGGCAGAGCCCTCAACGGTGGAGTTGGCACTGGTGATGGTTAGCTTCAACATCCTCAAAAGTAGGGATATATGTATACGGATAGAACTCACAGGTTGATCTCGCCACGGGGGGTCTTGCCGGAGACAAGCTTCTCCCAGGCGTCGGAGCACTCGCGGATGACATCCTCGGCGTACTTCTTGTTCTTGCACTCGCCGGAGAAGGCGAACTGGTTCTCGGGCTTTCCGTCGGGGATCTTGTAGATGCGGAACCACTCGTTGGTGGCGCGCATGAGGCCGGGAAGCTGGCGCTCAACATCCTCGATGTCGTTGAGCTTAGGAGCAAGAGGATCGTTGACGTCGATGACAATGATCTTCCAGTCGGTCTCCTCCTCGTCAATCAGGGCCATGACACCGAGAACCTTGACCTGCTTGACCTGGCCGGTGTAGCCGACAAGCTCACCAATCTCGCAAACGTCGAGGGGGTCGTTGTCACCCTTGGCCTTGGTCTCGGGGTGGATGGAGTTGGGGTCCTCCCAGGTCTGGTTCATAACATGTCAGTTTTTTTTACCCCTCTTCCTATCCACGGGTGTTGGTGNGTGGGGGGGGGGGGGGGAGGTCCAGAACTTACGCGGGGGAAGGCACCGTAGTTCCAGAGGTAACCCTTGTGAGGGAAGCAGTTGCGGACGAAGCGGAGCTTGCCCTTCTTGGTATCCTGCTTGATGGGGTTGAGGAAATCATCCTTGGAGATCTGTTTATGATGCAATCAGCATGTGGCGAGGGTCAATTGAGGTCTTGTGTTGTCGTACCTCCTGCTTGGCGTTGGTCCAGCGGGGGATCTCAACGACCATGTTCAGGATGGTCTGCTGCTCGTTGGCGTAGAGAGGAATATCGTGGAAGGGAGAGACGGGAACGCCATCCTTCTCAACGAACACACGGTGCTCGAGAGTGTAGGGGGAACCGATCTTGCGGATAGAGTAAGTCATATTGGGTGAAGCGGACGAAAAGTGTCGAGATACTTGGGCCGCACGGGATAAGGGAGAAGAAAAGGAAGAGGAGGAAGAGAGAGGGGCAGTCAAAGTGGGGGGAGCCAGCGTTGCTGATGTGCGCCAAACAGAGCGGGAGGCGGTGGAGGTAGCACTTCCCAGTCGGGCCAAAGGAGGACAAGTCATTGGCTGTGTTGGGAATGTCTTTAATGCTTTTTGTTCGGTTTTATTTAGTATTTCTGATACAGAACTTCAAATTACCTTTAATCACACGGGTATAAGTTGCAATGCGTGGTGGTGTTACCCCTTGTCTGTGTCGGAAGTTTGTATGGGAAAAAAATAAAAAAATATGGCAGTTCCGAAAGTCGGCAGGGCCATGATCAACCCGAATTAGATTGATATCCCGACTGATCTATTTAGTTGTGGATGTGCATTGTATACAACATTGAATTGAAGTCTCGTGCTCTTGCTTCGTATCAAGACATACTATAACATACATGTAGATACATGGACGCTACATCTTTTAGCTATTTGACAGGATGTACACTGCATGTACATACCCGACCCCATACTTACTGCCAGACACGCCGATGTCGGCAGTATACGCGGCCTATAGATCCATTGCAATTGTGTTCACTTCAATTGTACTCCGTATGTCGTAGAGCATTAAAATGTTAGAGTTACATATCGAACTCTTGGAAGCATCGCAAACAATCACATTGAGAGCTGGAGATGTCGTGATCCTTGGCAGGGAATAGAGCCCAATCATTGGTTGGTTTGATCTCACCGGCCCTCATAGAAAGAACCTAAGAAGTACATAGCTGCTTGAAAAATACCATGATGATTTAAATTACATAAATACATGAAATCCAATGACCACCTGTGAAAAGAAAAAGTGTTATCGCCACTATCATCACGTGGTTCAAACTTTCATCGGGAGTCCCTCCGCAGGGAAAAAAAAGACCGTTCTATACTTCCCCCTCCCCGCAGCACCTGGGAATGCTATGATCAGATCTCTCCGCAAAACAATGGCAACCCTCGCAACCGCAACCGCAGCTGCAACTGCACCTGCCCCCGCGCAGGCCGTTGTGCCGCGCGTGCCCATCCCTCCCAACGGTGTCGACTATCGCAACAAAATCGTCCTCGCGCCAATGGTCCGCTCAGGCGAACTACCCTCCCGCCTCCTGGCCCTGAAATACGGCGCCGACCTCGTCTGGGGCCCGGAAACAATCGACCGTTCTATGATCGGTGCCGAGCGACGCGTGAACCCGCGCAACGGCACAATCGAATTCACCCGCATGCCCAGCAACGGCGGACGCCCCAACAAACCAACCAAAGAATCAATCATCTACCGCATCGACCCAGCGCGCGAAAAAGGCCGATTGATCTTCCAACTTGGCACGGCCAACCCGGAACAAGCAGTGGCAGCAGCGCGCGTTGTGGCCAAGGACGTCTCAGGCATCGATCTCAACTCAGGCTGCCCGAAACCATTCTCTACAAGTGGTGGTATGGGCGCTGCCCTCCTCCGCACCCCCGATCTCCTCGTCTCAATCCTGGAAAATCTTGTCAAGGAGGTCGGCGAACCATATCAAATCGGCATCTCAGTCAAGATCCGCATCCTCTCCAACCCTGAAGAAACAGAGACTCTCGTCTCCCGTCTCGTGAAGACAGGTATCACAGGCTTGACAGTCCACTGTCGCACAACTCCCATGCGCCCACGTGAACGCGCAATCCGTGACCAACTTCCCATGGTAGCCCGTATTTGCCACGAAGCTGGCGTGGCGTGCGTGATGAACGGCGATGTGACTTCGCGTGACCAGGGCCTCGCCCTGATGTCTGAGTACGGCGTTGACGGTGCTATGATCGCGACCTCTGCCGAGACCAACTCGTCTTGTTTCCGGTCTAAGGAGGATGGTGGTGTCGCGCCGTGGCGGGATGTCGTCTACGAGTACTTGCGCTTCTGTATCGAGTCTGAGAATCGTCTGGGCAACACCAAGTACCTTCTCAACATGCTGATCCCCGGCAAAGACAAGGAGTTCAAGGATGCAAAGCTGTCCAAGACGTATCTTGATATCTGCCGCGCATTGAAATTCGAAGATTTGCTTCCCGCTGCTACGAGTGTTGATATGATCCTCGGTCTGGATGAGAAGTGGGAGCCTGCCCCCGTTGTTACTGATACACCTTGTGAAACCGATACGCAAACCCAGTCTGAGCCCAAGTCCAAGGCTGTGCAGAATGCTATGGAGTCTGAGGCTGCTCGTGCGGCTGGTGGCGGTGCTGTTCGGACTAAGAAGCCTTCGCCAGCTGTTCATGGAGGTGGTCCCATTCGGCGATCTTCTGCTCCTCAGCCAGCTAAGGTTACCCAAGTTGATGATGAGCAGCCAGTTGTTGAGGCTACTATTGCCGCTGCACAGACTCAGGCTCCCTCTCAGCTGACGGCGTAAATACTACTCTACGCCTCTCGTTGCATTTCTCGTCCATCGTTGCTTCTTTTTCACACTCTGTTTTCGATCCCATGCATAGCCCTCGGTTTTATTTCGGTTTAATTCTTGCCCATATCTGCATACTGGGGTGTTTATGATTGCTTCCATCTGTTTTGTCCATGGATTATTCCCCACTTACATACCTCATGTTCATCTTTGATGACTACCTATTTTAACAATTCCACAATACATATCACTCTACGTTGGATAGCTTTGAAACATAATGTACTAAATCAAAGGTAGTTGGATTTTTGATCCTCTAATCTAACAAATGATGTGCGATTCCCCGAATCGCCATGATATTGAAACCCCACCAAACACCATGTACTAACTGTGCCATGTTCGGCACGGTATTAAATGCAGTATCTGCATCGCCATGCAGATACTCACAACACAAACTCCAGTGTAACACCTTTTTTTGGCTTTAATGATTTTTTCTTTCCTTTGTGCTCGCTTACTTCTCTGCCTTCACCTGCAGCTCGGCCATCATCATTCCTTCGACAACCTTCATTCCAGCCTCTTCGCCCTTCTTGGCCCCAGCCTCGTCATCTCCAGCCACGGCCTGGTCAAGTGCCAGCTTGGTCTGGCCCAGTGCGTAGATCTGCTCCTCAATGGTGCTCTTGGTCACCAGACGGTAAATTTCAACCTCTTGGGTCTGGCCGACTCGGTGGGCACGGTTCTCGGCTTGCACATCTTCCTGTGGGTTGAAAGAAGAGTCGAAGATGACCACACGGTTGGCACAGGCCAAGTTGATACCGGCACCACCGGCCTTGGTAGACAAAAGGAAAACGGGAATCTCAGTGCGCTCGTGGAAGGCATCGAGGATGGACTGGCGATCCTCGACGTTGGTGCGGCCATCAAGGCGGACAAACTCGATTTTCAGGGTCTCCAGGACGTGCTCAAGGATATCCATGACCATTGTGAATTGAGAGAAGATGAGAGTGCGATCACCATTGGCGATGAAACGGGTGAGAAGCTCTTTGAGGTGTTCCACTTTGCCGGAGTCCATCCATTCGTCGTTCTTGAGCTTGAACTTGCCGAGGGAATTGGGGTTTTCCAAACACATGTGGTGGCACTCGAAGTCGTTGTAGGGCATGAGCTCCTCAAGAATGATCTTAGGGTCGGATAGCGACCACTTATCTTCCTTCAAGCAAGCCTTGGCCATCTTCTGCAGGATTTCATCGGTGTAGTGACGACGAGCAAGGAGGGGGTGAATGGCGGCCTGGCGCAACTTCATAAGAATGTTGGCAGACTTCGAGCCAGTCTTCTTTCCAGCAGCACGGTCTGCCAGCAGCTGGCGCACTTGTTCTTTTTCGTGGTCGTAAATCTTGACCTGGGAAGGTTTCATTTGGCACCAACCAACATGAGAGTGCTTGGCCGGAAGATCAATGACTTGGTGCTTCTTTCGTCGGAGGATAAAGGGTTTCATCATAGACTTCGCGCGCTCAATGCGCTGTTGAGATAGGAGAGTAGCGTGGGACTCGTCGGTCGTCTTTGCCTTGTTGGAGAACACTGCATGGAGATCTTCCTTGTGCTCCTGGAAGACCGAGGGAAGAATAAAGCCGAGAAGAGATGCCAGCTCCTGCAAGTTATTCTGAAGAGGAGTACCAGTGAGAAGCAGACGGAAACGCGCCCGAATTCGAATCAATTTTTCGTACAGCTGAGATTGATGGTTCTTCAACATGTGTCCTTCATCATAGACACAAACAGTGAAATCCATGTCACGCAAGAACTTAGCATCAAGCTTCGCCTTGGCAATCGTGTAGGTAGTGATCACAACGTTGATCTCGTCGCGTCGTTCCTCAATCTCCTCGCGGATGAGAGCACGCTCGTTGAGACCAGCGTAGTAAGGCATGACATTCAAGACCGGACAAAACTTCTGGAACTCGCGGAGCCAATTCTCAATGGTGGAAGATGGGACAACAATCAGGTGAGGGCCCTTGATGCCCTTCTCAAACAGATGTGCGAGGAATCCGATGACCTGGCAAGTCTTACCCAGGCCCATGTCATCGGCCAGAATGCAGCTGAGTTTCTTTTCAAACAACAATGCCAGCCAGTTGATGCCCACAATTTGGTAATCCTTCATCACCAGGTCGTCGGCCATGACAGAGGGCTGTGAGATGAAACGAGATTTGCGCTTGGAAACAACCAGTTTGTCGCTGTCTTCATCACTTTCGGAAGATTGGCGTTCAGATGCGGGAGTAGCAATGCCCGAGTCGTGCTCTGGTTTGGAAGGAGCAATATTGGTAATTTCCAAGTCGCCCTTTTTCCCGAAGGTGTCGACACCCCATTTCTTCATCTCTTCAGCGACTGGCTTGCCGAGCTCTGCAACCTCGCCAACAAGAGCGTCAATAGCCAGGTATCCAGTCCACATATCAATACACTTGTCGACAATCTTGTCTCCAATGGGCTTAGGGGCCTTGCCTCCTCTCTTGCCCTTGGGCTTCACAGTCTCTACAACTGGAGCAGAGACAACACGCACATCATTGAGGGTCGCGTAGGGGCGGTTCGAAATGATGATTTGAGCAGTTTCTTCGGGGATAGAAGCGATATCAGCGAGATCCTGCACAGGACATGTGTTGAAGAATTTCAGGACCTTGGAATCCAAACCGCCAGCGGTGGATGCTTGGACCTGAACAGTGGAATCGTCCGAATCACTCATCATAGCCTCGGGGGACTCGGATCGGTCAGGTGACGGCGCTTTGCGACCCTTCTGGAGCCGTCCCATCTTCTTTTTCGGGGGGCTGTCATCGTTGATTGTGATGGCATGAACAGGAGAAACAGCACGGGAAGAGCCCTCAGACTTGGGTCCACGAATAAGTCGGCGGCGAGGCTTTCCTTCGTCGTCGGAATCCTGGGTCTTGGGCTGCTGCTTCATTGCCGCCCACTTGTCCTGGATGGTACCACGGGCTTTGATGTTCTGCTTGGCCATAGGAGCCGGGCCCGTAGCCGGGGAGGCGCTCAATTCATCATCGGAGGATTGAATAACCACGGGTCCATTTTCCTGGTTGGCCGCATCCATGTTGGCAAGGATTTGGAGGGCGTCGTCGTAATTGCCCTTTGCTTTCAACATCGCGTCCATACAGGCTCGAACAGTCATATGCGGCATAACTTTGAGAATGCGCTCAACTTTGACGCGGAGTCTGAAGTCGTTGATCTCATGAAGCAGGATGTCTGGAACTCCCACAGGTTGTGCACGAGAGGGCACATCTTGGCGAGCTTTTTTCATGGCAACCCCCTTGGGTGCCGGTGGACTCATCTGATCCGCGGTCCGCTTGATTGCGGTTCCAGTATTCTTCGGATCGTACATGGCAGAGGATGTAATTTCTCGGAACCGATCCATTGCCCCGGCGTCAGGGCGGACGGGCGACTCCATGATCTTTTCTTTTTCGGGACTCCGAATGGTCTTCGCAAACATAGACGGTTTGATATCTGTACTTTGTAGGTGGTACTCTTCGTCTGATGAGCCACCTCGGTATGTCGGTCCGTCGTCGAGATCGAAGCGCGGTGTTCGTTTTGTAGGGCCAGAGGCAGGAGGTCGGAATTGCGTCCCAGAAGGAGCGATTAAGGATGAAAGTAAACCGCCTTGGACCCGGCGGGGAGGAGAAGAGACTGGGCCTATGGGTGAAGATGCAGCAACTTGAATGACAGTGTTATTTTGCCGCGAGTAAGGATGTTCAAGTAGTTGTGTTGGTTGGGTCAATCTTTGCGACGGGGTTATCGCTGGAAGAGTGGCGATAGTTTCGTAGTCTTCGCCAGGAGGGGTACTCGGAATAGTTTTTATATCTCGAGGAGGAGTAGTATTGACAGATTCATCCATCGCTCACAATACTAACAATGTCATTGAATCATAGAAGCCATCTGATTGTTCTGCGCTATTCAGGAACGTTTTTTCTGCCAAAGCGGACACGCGCCACCGTGGACGCGCCCAATCACGTGTGAGATTAGTCAATTAAGTAGGGAATTGGAACAAAGAAGTAAGACATGTGAAGAAGTTTAACCCTATAAAGTTGACTGAATAGGGATTAGTACTGTCATGAACGAACAATAGATCTCAGCTTTCCCCGAATTAGAGAATGAAACAATAAGGAAGTCACATGGGCATATACCTCCAACCCACCAATCAAACCCCAGCATGTGACGGCGGACACTAAGTTATCTCCGCACTTGCGATAGCTTCAGTTCCTTTGTTTCTCAACAGAGACCTTCCCTTTTTCATCCTTTGGCCTCTGACTTATTAAATTACTGCTACTCCCAAAGAAAACAAGCATGTCTGCCCGTCGCCCCCACAACCAGTCCTTTGCCGATGGTGCGGCAAAACCTACGCCCCAAGGCACTTCCGACGTGGCCCCAGCTGTTCCCGCGTAAGATAATAACCTTATAAGCTTAATCCAATCCTTGAAGACACATTCTTATTGGCTCTGGTATCTAGAGATGTGATTTACAAGCTCCTCGGCTTCACGGCCGCCATGATCGTTGGCCCCATTGGCATGTATTTCTTGACTTTGAATACAATCTTCAGTGGTGAGTATTTCTCTGCCTACCAACTTGCAATAACATATACTTATTAAATTGATGTTATCTAGGGAGCTCGACACTCGCCGGAATCACCGCAGCCGTTACCGCCAACGTGGTCTTGTTCGCATATATCTATGTCGCCTGGACGGAAGACCAGGAGGACAGACAAGCGGCCAGCAAGTCAGATTCAAAGAAAGCCCAGTAGGTTGTATAGCGACTCAACCTGAGGGACTTTAGAAAACGATTACTATTTTCGGCGTTACGGCATTGTTCGGGTGGTTGGGGTTTCTGTTTTTGTATAATTGGGATGGAACAACTTCGACCATCTAAGGACTCGATTGTAAAACTACATATTGGCTGAACCATTCATCTCACGGTTGAATATACCGGATGTTCCCAAGATATCAAGCTCCACACTTTAATCCCTTCAGTCAAGGCCTGTATTATATTTGGGCTGTTCATGTTGAAGGAACCGCATGTAGAGACAAAAAAAGACCAAGACCCATGTCCTCTGACAGATACGCCGATATGCAGTGCCAAACAGAAATTACTCTCTCACACATTCCCATTCTCATCAGCTAACTAGCAGCTCCGAATCAGCTTAGGTAGGTCTGCGCTTGACAAACTCCTCCAAGTCCGCCTTGGTAGCAACACCAAGCACAAACTTGCGCGCCACATCAGTGACAACGGCAAACTGCTGCTTGTCGCGCTTCTCGCCATTTGGCCCTGTCTCGCTCTCGAAGAACTCCTCGAGCTCCTCGAGCGGCGTATTCATCGTGATGACCTGGTAGATGCCACGCTTGCGGTTAAAGCGCTGCATCGCTGCTGAGACTGGGTCGCTTTCTTTCACGGCACCGCTCTGCAGCAACTCTCGTAGCCGTGGGATGCTGAGGTAGCCCAGCAGAGAGCGCTTCGTCGGGGAGATAACAGTGAGGTGCGTGTAGTCTCGCTCGTAGGCGGCCATTAGGGCTGTGGAAATGGGGTCATCGGTGGAGATTGAGAGCGCGGGGGGAGGGTCGAGGTCTTCAATTGTTGCCTGTGTTGTTTGTTAGCTTCGAGGTCCATTGGATGATTGTATCGGGAGAGACGGACACCGCGGTACTTATCGGCCCAGGCAGCTGTGGATGAGGTGCTTATGTCGGAGGTGGCTTCCTTTTCGCGAGTAAAGGCCTCGCTGCCAGTCAGGTATGATGCCATTTTGATTGTGATCGCGATGAGGGGTTGGTGAGGGGCAGTGGATGGGTTGGAGGGTTGTTGAGAGAAAGTAGACGTATGTTGAAGGTAGAGAGTGATTGGCTCAGGTATAAATATCGAGAAGTCAAGTAAGATCTCTCAGTAGGGTATACCTGAGTTGTGCAGGGTCAAGAGCTTTCAACCGTTGCGGGATGACTTTTCGATGTCAAGCTTGGCATTTAACTCCACTACGGGAGACGGTTGCGGCCACGGCGGTTATCAGATCCATACCTATATCCATTTTCTTTCTGCTTCTTACTCTTCTTACTTTTGATTGTTAAATATAGCATACTCTCAATCATCAGGTCTAAAGGGAAATAGGAAAATATCCACCTATGACAGCCCCCGATCGGTATAAACTCACCTTACTGTATCTAGAGTAAATATCCAGGCCTTCCAAACCGTAGGCGACTAGTCATATTATTCGCAAATGATACAATAGATAGCCCTAGGCTAAACCTTTTGAATCTACTTTGCGGAGCACATGTCATCAAGTATGTACTCCGTATGGAGTATACAAACAGGTTTCTCTTTTGGCCCCCGGGCCCGAGGGATTATGATCCTAGCCAGGTACATGTATACTAGCATGCTGAGAGGCACAGACCCACACGGAGATAGCCATAAGTAAGTCCACAATCCCCGATGGCTGTTTTACTTGGAGCCTGAGTATTAATTTCCATAGAGTACGCTTCAAAAGTAAATTCGACGTACTCTTCCAACGTACTATAAAGTGCTTTGTTGGTACCCCGCCAAGACTTACAACGCCCACACGTCATTGTGTTTGTGTGAGCATCATCCTTATCCCCCCGTTGTGCCCTGTTTCATCTGGATTAAATATCTCATACAGATTCAATCAGAAGGAAATACAGTCAGCGTTACTCGAAATCCACCCTTTTGGTGGAGATCTCCGGATATCCAAACTGACTCCACTTATACCCACCTCCACCCGAAGTACACCATGATTCCCGACTGGATCAACACTTTTGCCGCCCAGCATCCTCTAGGTGCTGTGAGCGCTAATGCGAGCCCCACGGCCAAAAACAGACCGTTCACGGCTTGGAGTGCACTCGACGATGTGAAGACAAAGGCCGACGACATTGCCCACGAGGCAAGCCGGGAGTTTAATGTCGCAAGCCAGAAAGCCCAGGAGAAGGCCGGCAAGATCGAACCTGGCTCTCTGAAGTACTATGCAGCTTGCACATTTGGTGGAATGTTGTCATGTGTTAGTATTCCCTTTTTGTCTCAATTATGAGCACTCTGTAGACCAGCTTCTCACATATATACTAGGGCCTTACCCACACTGCCGTGACACCCCTCGACCTGATCAAATGTCGCCGCCAAGTCGACTCCAAGCTCTACAAGAGCAACCTCCAAGCCTTCCGCACCATCCGTGCAGCTGAAGGTATTCGCGGCGTCTTCACTGGCTGGAGCCCTACCTTCTTTGGCTACAGTGTAAGCCTGAGCGACATGCGGATCTTTTACATCCCCAATTATCTATACTGATTACAGTTATAACAGGCCCAAGGAGCTTTCAAGTATGGAGGATATGAGTACTTCAAGGTCTTCTACAGCGACCTAGTCGGCCAGGAAAATGCGAGCCGGTTCAAGACTGCCATCTACCTGACAGCCAGTGCCTCGGCAGAGCTCATCGCAGATATAGCGCTTTGCCCATTCGAGTCTGTTAAGGTCCGCGGTCAGACTACCATCCCCCCTGAGATCACAGGAACTTTCAGTGGTATCTCAAGCGTTGTTGCCAAGGAGGGCGTTGCTGGGTGAGTTTGACCTCTATCATTTTCCGTTCTTGAGTCAAATCTCTATATGCTGACCCGTTACCCAGTCTGTACAAGGGTCTTTATCCGCTCTGGGGCCGTCAAGTTCCCTACACGATGATGAAGTTCGCTTCCTTCGAGACCATTGTTGAGATGATCTACCACAATCTGCCAGGTCAGAAGTCCGACTACAACAAGGGTGCCCAGACTGCCGTTGCGTTCTCGGGTGGTTACCTCGCCGGTATTCTGTGTGCTGCGGTATCGCATCCTGCCGATGTCATGGTCAGCAAGTTGAACGCGAATCGACAAGCGGGTGAGGCATTTGGCGCTGCTATGAGCCGCATCTATGGTGACATTGGCTTCCGGGGATTGTGGAACGGACTGCCTGTTCGTATTGTGATGATCGGTACTTTGGTGAGTTGTTCTTGTCCAGTGTGGTTTAATTCAGCGGCTAACAAGACTCCAATGTACAGACTGGACTCCAATGGATGATGTATGGTCTCACTTTTGGTTGTTTTGTGCGCTGGATATTCGCTGACTCTAGTCTTACAGCTACGATTCATTCAAGATTTTCATGGGGCTTCCTACCACAGGTGGCTCAAGTGAAGACAAGAAGAAGACAAACTAAGGACATGTCTGATCTGCTTCTACGGGTAGCACGCGCAGCTTCCATTATTCTATCGTTTACCATCTGGGCTATGGCTACACTGATCTTGATATCTTTTCTCGGGAATATTCTATCGCAGGTGCAATACATACTCTCTCCTATCATTTCACCTAACACGGAGTCTACCTATCCATACTCCGTATAGTAAACGCCAAGCTCGCTATCGGCCAATTGCAGTTTGTCACACCTCCACCAATCGGAGGCTGTTATCTTATCGGCGACGTCACCAATGTAGTTCGTCTGCGAATATAAATGTTCAATATAGTTGAATAACAACATCTTAAATTGATATAGATAGAGAACGATGTGGTTCAGGAACCTCTTGGCTCGGAAACTCAGTATTATCATAGTCTAGCTCCCCGATACGATCGAGTGGGTGGATTATACTTAAAGATCTAGATACCCCAAAATCCACTTCTCTACATCCCCCCTGTACGACCTAAAGTCCCGAGACCCTAAGATAGTAAGCTTGCAGTTACACCCCAGCACGTGGAATTCCCCCGCCATCGCATCTTGTACCTGCATCTATCGCCCCATCGATCATCGATAAATACCTTTCCACCTACTCCCCCACTTCTTCCTTTCGCATCTACTCACCCCACCTACCAACTATCTCACCCGCAAAGAAAAACATATACATCTACTTCAATGTCTGACGAAAACCAGCCAAGCGAGATGCCCGATAAAGCCACCAAGGATTCCGAGGTGCCAATGGTCTCACACGGCCGAGGAGGCAAGATAACCCCCCAGCCCTAACCGCATTTCCCCCTCTATTATCCATGGCCACCAACTAACAAGTTCTACATTCAGGTCAAGGAAACATCGGCCACGACACCACCGAGTATGTCCAAACCAGTCGCACGAGCGTCGCACATACTAAACACACATGAAAAAAACACAGATACGTCGATGGCGAGATCGTCCGCGAAGGCCCCTACGGCGATCAAGGTGATGGCGCTTACTCCGCCGGCGTGAGTACCTCTCACTCCACCAAACCCAAGTCTCAACCTCCCACTGATGCACGAGACTCTACCCAGCGAGGCGGCGCAGGAAATATCGGCTCCCCTATGGTCAGACCCTCGTCCAGGGCTCCCCACGACGTCGAGATGATTCCCGAGCTTGCGGTGCGCGACTCAACGGATGAGACATACCACACCGGGGTAAGCAGCAGAGAGCTCTTTCACTTGTTTACTTTTGATTTGTTCTATGATTGATCCCCCCATCCCGATCATTTCCCTATGGTTTCCCCCCTTGGTTTTACGCTTGCTTTTCCCTTTCCCCGCTTTCGGATTCCCAGGCGCATTCTTCCCAGGATCATATGGCTGACTTTTTTCGGGATGGTAGCGTGGTGGACAGGGAAATGTTCATCTTGATGAGGCTACGCTCAAGGAGAAGGAGAAGAAGAAGGTTGCGCATGAGGGATTGGCGGATAAGTTGAAGTATAAGCTGCTGGGGCGGAAGTAGGGGTAAATCGGGGCCCTTTTTTTACTCTTGCTTTTACTGTCTTGTGCTTCTTTCGTGATTCCCATTTCTCGTGCGGTAGTGGTGGCGGGTCAACCTGGTTTCAATTTATTTTCCGGGTTTGTATCCGGATTTAATGGTGGACTTTTTCTTGCTTCTTGTTATTTGTTTTGGTTATCTTTCACCTCTCTTTTAAGGTGGTCGTTTATGTATAGGTACCTGCAGGTGTATGCATATGCATCTAATGGTTGCACAGTAAGGAGATGTGATGTGAGGGGTATCCTAGGAGGGATATTTATGTGGAATAGATACATATTGATATGAATAAGAAACAGAAAGCGAACAAGAGAATCAAAGAAACAAACGAAAAAAAGAACTTCCTATCCATGACGTGTCCCCATGTGTCCCTGTATCATAACCTCATTACAGCATGCGATGAATGAACTAGTCATGAAAGCAAAAAAACAATAATAAACATCCCGCATTACCATATCCGTTTCCGTACAAACAAAAAAACAACGCCAATCTGCTCAGCCCGAAAAAAAAAGGATCAATGCATCTTGAAATGAAGTGTCCAGATACAGTATCGAGCATTATCCATCTCAGTCTCACATCTCAGTCGAGACTATCAGATTTATTTATCCTTGCTGAACCGGCGCTTGAACCAACTCTTCCTCTTATCCCCTCCAGCCGGAGGTTGGCTCACATTCTTTTGCGGAGGCGGTGGTGCAGGCCTAGCTCCTGTGGAAGCTGGAGTACCTCCAACAGGTCCACCCCAGCTTGACTCACCAGCAGGCTGTGGAAGTCTGGGTGAGCTGAAATTGTTGGAACCATACTCAGCTTGACCACGCCCATCGAGACGCTGTTGCTGCAGAGCCTGCTGCTGCAATTGGTCGTTGGAGCTGTTCATCGAGCTGGGGTCTGTGGACTGGCCGTAGGGGTCTGTGTAGCCAGAACCAGTGTTTGACATGGCAGCCACGTTGTCGCGGGACCGTTGGTAGCCATGTTGTGAGCCATTTGCCATGTTGGGGTAGCCCTCGGAGGGGGTGATGGGCGCTGACGGTGACCCACGGGGATGGTGGGATGGGCGTCTCCTGCTGTTTGGGTTATATCCACTCTGGTTATATCCACCCTGGGCGTAGTAGGGATTCGGGTTCTCGGGTGATAGAGGTGTGTTTTGGTATGCGTTCACGATGCTGTCTGGTCGCGATTGGCTTTGGCCGTAGTAATTGCTTTGTTCGTGGTTTCTGTTTGAAGGACCGTTGCTTTGACCTATTGGCGAAAGGATTAGAAGCAATTAATGAAAAGGGGGGGGATTACAGGAAACATACCTCCATAGTAACTTGTTCGTCGGCTGAAGTCGCCCATCTGTGATGCGCCATCCTCTATCAAACAAATCAGCCCATATTCCCACATTCCTGACTTTTCACAAGGAAACGTCAAAAAATACCTGTTTTAACATATGACGCACGGTTACTGTTGTATGAGCCGTTGATGGCTGCCTCGAATGATCGAATTGTATCCAAGGGGCGCTCCAAACGCGGTCGAGTGGGATTTGACAGGTCGGGATCGGCTGGGACGAAGCAAGGGTTAACCAAAAAAAGCCCCAGGAAGCAAAGATTGCCAGTGGATACTAACTGATGACATTCCCATACTGATCCTTGAATTCAATCTCTCTCAACGAGCCCAGGTTTGACTTCTCCAACGCGACCGCCACTATTGAATTGTCAGTTGACGTGAAATGGGAAGGAATGCGACCGGGCCAGAATCAAGGCCCAACCTCTCTTCTCGGACGTACTAGGCTGAAGCTCGTTCATGGCGACGAGAGGATCTGCTTTGGTGTGTAGGTTGCGACGAGCTTTCTCCTGTGAAGTTTCCGAAAGTCCACGTTTGTGGCTTGTTGATCCCGATTTGTCTGACTTGTCGGATTTCACGCTGAATCCACGACTCCTTTTAGGAGAGGTGGGAGATTTGGGGGTGTCCATTTTATTAGGAGTTCCACCGTACTTTTAGCGTCCGAGATTCAAGGCAAGTCTGAAACGGTGTGATCTGCCTATCGCTGGAGTGGAGCGTCTGTGGTGGATCCAAGAGGTGCGATCACAGTTCAACGCGTTTGCAATTTGAGACACGGTAATATCGGTGACTATCAGGATCCGACAGGAAATAAATGGGGGCCGACTGAGGGTGTGACTGGGGGGTGCGACTGGGGTGTTTGTAGTTTTAGGTGGACTTTCCCAAGTGGTGAATGCGAAGATGTGAAGCGTCAAAGAGTGGAGCAAGGAATTGAATTACAATAGTACAATAGTACAAGGGTTCAACAGTGCATGCAATAATTGACCTGTGCAGAATTGTAGAATTGTAGAATGTAGAATTGTAGGAATTGCAGAATTACCAAAGGGAAGAAGATATTTTCCTTAAAAAAGGGAAATGGATGGTTTTATCGGGGACCACGCAATCCAAGGCTTCCAGGTACTTCCAGCTTCCGAGTACGTACTCTTTTTTTTTTTTTACTTTTTCTTTTTCTTATTATGGATTTCACTTTAGCTTATTTCATTCGCTTTTAGAATATTTACAATATTTTAGAAAATCTCGGCAAATTGCTATGCCTCCATGGTACGCAATTCGGTTCTCAGCTACGATTGGTGAAGTTCCTCCGCTTAGTCCCAATGGAAAGTGGCAAGAGACCCGATATTGTGCTATTGTGCTATTGTGCTATTGTGATATTGTGATATTGTGATATTGTGATATTTTGATATTGTGCTTAATATTCTTTGGAAGTTCTTAATACTTGATATTCCCTGGTCAGGGCTTGGTGAAACAGTGCCTAAGACTAATATAAGCCCAACCTTGACATTCATACATACTCCGTATAAGTGCATAAGTCTCACTTTTCACTTTTCACTTTTCTTTTTCTTTTCCCAGCCTTTCTGGAAAAACAGTACCGCGATACAGATCATCCGGGCTATTCCAATTGGCCTAATTTTAGATATTAGGTACAATGTACGGAATATCATCGTGATGTGTATGCTGTGCATTCCTTATGAACGCCTTCTACGTTATGCAAACCTTAAGCGGTTGGGGGGGCTGGCGAATGACAATGAAAACCCACAACGTACGGCGTATGCGTACATTAATCATTGCTTGACACCCGAAGGCATACCTCTTAGTTAGATTCTAGACTGAACATACAACATAGAGCTAACTAACAAAAAACTGATACCACACGTGTTCATCAACCTCGGAATTGTGAGTCAGAAGCCGCGGACCGTTGGCCCGTGGAGATCTAAAAATAGCACAAAGTCTACAAATTTATAGCCCGAGGCGTCAGAGTATCAAAGTATCAAGGTATCAAGACCGTACGTGATATTATACATGCAGAATGATACCGGGTACGGGGAGATCATTCGGAAAGTTATAATAAAAATCGCATGTTGTTTATACCCGGTGGTAAGCTAAGGTTTCAAATGTGATTGGTACGTGTTATACATTGTGCACACCACATAAATCTAATTATTTTACATAAATTGAAATTGAAATGATATCCATCCTATTCAGGGCATGAAACACAATAATATTCGGCATCCTGTCGTTTTAGTAGTGTCTTTAGCTTTTTAGTCATTTTAAATGTCTAAGATGTCTAAAAAAAAGACGGGAAAAAGGCTTAATTTTTGAAATTGACTTTTCTATATAAAACCAGGGTCCAGGGAAATTCTTAATCCCAAAATTGCTTACTATACCTAGTATATGGAAGAGCTGACTATCATTCTCGTTGAATATACATCTTCATCTATCCCTCATTCCTATCTATATGTATTGATCACAAAAATTGACTAAATTGCACGCCTCACCATCTCATCAACCATCAACTGGCTAGCTCCCATATATTTCAAAGGGTCACAGAAAGCAGCTAGTTTTTCCGGTGTCGCAATTCCAGTCAAGGAAGGCGTCTCCTCAAGAACCTCAAGCAAAGTCCGATTCTGTTCAATGGCACACTTACAAGCCTCATAAACCAGATCATGAGCTCCCTGTCGTCCCAAATGCGGTGCCAATCCCATCATCACAGCCTCACCCACAATCAACCCCTTAGTAGAATACAGATTCCGTTTCATCGAGTCAACCTTAACAACCAATCCCCCGAGAGCGAAATTCGTCTGATGCAAAGCGCCCACTGCAGTCACAAAAGCATCAGGAATAGCCACCCATTCCAAATGCCAAGGCCCAGACGCGCGTTCAAAGTCAGTAACCATTGCATCTAGTCCCAGTGACGCATTGGCACGCAGCATCTTCGACGCAGCCAGAATAACCTCGCTAGAGATAGGATTCCGCTTCTGCGGCATCGTGGACGAAGCACCTCGGTGAGGCACAAAGGGCTCCGAGACCTCGTCGAACTCATTGGAAGACATAATCATCACGTCCAATGCAATCTTCCCCAAGGTGCCACCCACAAGAGCCAGGAAGTTGAGGATCTCCGCTATATTATCCCGCGCAACATGCCAAGTGATATTGGGATTTTTCAACCCAAGCTCGGCGGCAAGCTGCTCACGAACCCGAAGCCCTGTATCATCAGCACCCAATGCAGCGATTGTGCCCGCCGCACCACCGAACTGCACAAGCAGACACCGCTGCTCGATCTCCTCGATGCGTTCTAAGTGTCGGAGGATGCTGGAGAGGTATACTGCGCATTTGTATCCGAATGTGCAAGGTAGAGCGTGCTGTAAATGTGTTCGGCCTGCCATTGGACTGGATTCACCATTAGTTCGCATTTTGAAAGCGAGGAAGAAGAACTCACGTGTCGCGATGGGTAGCTGCAAGACCCTTCAGAATCCCCTTCAGAATCTCGAGCTCTCTTTTCACCAGACTGACACCACGCTTAATCTGAAGCATGGATGCATCGTCTTGGATATCTTGTGTCGTCGCTCCCCAGTGGATATACTTGGCCATCTCGTCGGGCGTACCTTCAACCAATTGCCGAACTAACGGAAGAACAGGATATCCGACAATATCGGTTTCGACTGCTAGGCGTTCATAGCTAGAACAAAAGCCCGATAAGTGTTTATTCTGTAATTTCGGGAATACATGGAGATTGCAACGTACTCGATCTGAAGGCTTGCAAAAGCATCTGTAATAGCCTTTCCTGCTTCGGCAGGAATCACACCAACTGTTGCCTCGGCGCGTGCTAAAGCGGCTTCGACTTCGATTAGGGACTTCACATATGCCTCATCTGTGAAGATGTCGCGGATTTCTTGTGTTCCGAATAAGTTGCGGAAAATGCGAGAGTCGAGGGCGGAGACGGCCATGATGAGGGTATTCGAGTGTTTTTGGTATCAGGATAAATACAATGAGTGATTAAATGGATTTGTTTGTCTTTAAATATTTTATCTCAAGTTTTATTTCCCCCTCATGCGGAGGTATGACGCTGGCTTGGTCGCTTCGGAATAGGCTCTTATTCCGAAGGTTTGGTGGAGCATGCCCGGGCATAGTCCGATGTCATCCATCGGCATACGTACTGACTTGGATGGACTTAAATTCATCATTTTCACATATCAATAGGACTTGGTATAACTCGTGGAAGCATTCAATGTCATATTTTGTCATCCTAGAGCCAAAAAAAAAATGTATAAGCAACATATAGGAAGACCCTAAAGGGACATTGACAAGATACTGAGGACTAGCTGCTTGGTATGGATGAACGAAACTATTCATTGGATACATATGTATTTCCTTATTAAAATGTATATATTTTGGCAAATATTGTAATCGATTGACTATGTACAATCTACCCCAAAGCTGGATTACAGCAACAACCAGACACGAAGGCAATAGGTTGCTTGATTCGCAAAGCACAATGACCAAAACTTCACGTTTCACTTGCTTAGAGACCTGGTAGAGTACTCTTCATGCTCCACTTCGCCCTTCTTTTGAGTCTCCCGGGGAAGTTCAGGCAAGGTTTCAATAGGTCGGTTATTAGCAAATCGAACAGTTGACCACACTGATGGACTCTCGCGGAAGATGAGGTCAATCTCCTCTAGAGAACGACCCATAGTCTGAATATTATCAGTAAACGGCTTGCGGGTGATAAAAAATCACGGAAACTCACCTCGGGGTACAAGAAATAGACAGTTATAGGGACGAATGCACCGATACACGTATAAACAATGTAGTACTTATACCCAATTGTTTCTATTGCAACTGGAGTAATCATAGTAACCACGAAGTTCCTATCATGAAGGTTAGAGTCTGTTTGGTGAAATATCTTTTTAGACCAAAGGGATGTGCATACCAAAGCCAGTGATTCGCAGTAGAAATACTTGACATGGCAACCCGAAGACGAATAGGGGCCACCTCCGTGCAATAGAGGAAGTTGGCACCGAGGAATCCGATCGGAATGAAGAAGTTGAAAAGGAAGACGAAAAGGACACTAGTAATCTGTGCGGCATAATTGGAATGGGGGAAAGACGTCGCAATTGCCAGACCTAGCATGCAGCTAGCCATTCCACCTCCGCTCACCATCAAAGCGATGCGACGACCAAATCTGTCGATTGTGAAGAAGGATACAAAACAAGAGAGGAACTTCCATGTAAGTGTTCCACCGGAGAGAATCCGGGCAGTCTCAGCACTCAGTCCTAGACCTTGCTCGAAGATCACCGAAGAGTAGACCGAGATCAAATTCCCGCCCGACATCTGTTGGAAAAACTGCAGCAAGATGCAGATAGAGAAACGATACAGCAGCCGATCATCTCCCATCTTGAGAAGATCTTTAAGGGACGCTGCACTTTGCGCGGTCTCTTCAAGGGAACTTTCGATGCTAGCGATTTCCCCCGATATCCCAGATGCATCCTCGGGAAGGTCCCTCAGAGAAGCGAGTATAATCCGAGCCTCGGCGACGCGGTTCTGACGCACAAGCCACCGAGGAGATTCAGGAAGGAAGACGATCGATATGAGGAGGACAATGGCGAAGATGATGGGAATTGCGATCGGAGCTCGCCAAGTGACAGGTCCTGTTTTGAACTGATAGAAACCGAAATTGATCCATGCTTGAAGCATGTATCCGAGCGCAATGAAAAGACCGTCAAGTACTATGTGCTTACCCCTGTTTTTGGAGCTGGAGCACTCGCTTTGCCAGGTTGGGACTGTTCCGCTCAGCATGCCAATTCCCGCTCCAAGCACAGTACGACCCACGATCATCTGCGCCAGTTGGTAAGATGATGCTTCCAGCACTTGGCCGATCAATGCAAGTAGGCCGCCCATGAAAATCACTGGACGTCGACCGAATTTGTCGGCAGTGTATGAGCAGGACAGACAACCGGGCAGTGCACCCAAGGTGAATGTCGCTATCACCACTCCTTGAATTGTCGCATTGTGGCTAGCCTCGGCGCCTTCAGTGTTGATGGTGTCGATAGCTGGGAAGTGTTTGACCCAGTCTGAGAGTGAAACGAGGCTTCCGAGTCCTGACTGATTGTATCCGAAAAGGGTGTATGCTGGGCAAACAACCAAAAGAATCTGAGCAAGAGACAACGCCTCTCCTCTGAGATTCCAAAGCCGCGAAGTCATCTCGAGCGATGTATCCTGCGAATGGAATGGGGGAGGTGGTCAAGTTCGTAGAGCAGACAAAAGTTCGAAAGAAGAAAGGAGTCCGGATGATGCGTCAAAACCCGGGGCCCCGGATTGGGGCCATTAAATAGAGAATGGCAGGCTTGGCTTGCAGGATCTGGGGTCATGCAATGCATTGGATCGGAATAGAGAGATAGTATAAGGTTCCATCTCGGTATAGGGCTAGGAGGCTCGGAATAAGACCCTTATTCCGGCACTAAGCAACTAGTCGGGCCATCTCCACATTTATGACTCCCCCAAATCCATGAATCCCATGAACGGGCCTGATGGATCACCCATCCAGTCAGAAGCCGTCATATAGTTCAAAGCGTCTAATGCGTTGCCACTCCAGTTTTGCTCGTCAAAAGTGTCGGGCGCGTCACTGATAGGAACGCCATCGTCCACCACATGAGGAGTCTCCACTAAGCCTTGCGCAACTGGCAGTGACGAAAGTAATGTTCGCAAAGTTTTAATAATCTCACTGAGAGATTCAGAGTAAATACTTCCCTGCACTTGAGTGGCCCGAGAACTGTCCATTGTCAAGATGGAGATTCCTTTCGAAATCATGCCCATGCTAGTATCAAGCGCTGGGAAACCATCGGGCTTGAACGTGCGATATTTGAGTTGAGAATAGATGTGAACAAGGGCAGATTGAAAGATTGTAGCTGGTCCGACCAGACTCAGATTCCGAAGCCACTTCGGGATGTTAGATGCTTCAACCAAGGACAATATGGCACTGCCCGAATCAAGACATTCCCTGAGACAATTGCCAAACTCTGGTGTTGTATCGTCGAATGAAAGGCCAGGGCGATGTATTAAAGTCATGGTTATGTTTGCCATGAGCTGGAGCCACATAGTCGTGCTCTCATAGGAATGGTTGGTATCCCCAGATGAATGTTGCAGATCAGTATTCCCAATGTCAAAAAGGATACCATTTGCTTTGAGATTTTGATTCCACACTCGGAGGCCACGGTCTAAGTCCGTGATTTTTCTTGCGCCATCACGTCGCTGTGTCGTTGTATACAGAAGATCAAGGATTCTTGAGAGCTTTTTACCAAGGCTCACGTATTGCAGAAACACAAATACAGCGGTTCTTTCCCCGGGCAAGGGATGAGAAAGCTCCGTGGCCTCTAAGTCATACAAATGGCAGTCAATAGGTAGGTCGTTATCAACATCAACATCGTTGATCAGGGGGGGTAGTCCGTGAAGAATAGAAGTAAATCTGAATGATCAGCATGGATGTAAATTCATTGTGCATCAGGAGCCTACCTGTCAAAGACATAGACCCACCACCACAAGCGTTTCCGAAGCTCGATTTCACCAACTCCCATTTTGAATCGTCTTGCGTGTCTATGGAGGCCCAAAGATTGAGCAAGGCTGACAATCATGCCGTTGAGAGTTGTAAGAGTCAGACAGTGACCACTTAGTTGATTGTAAAGCGCAAAAAGTGATAAAGCTTGCAGACTCTTGAGATTTCCTTGGCCGACAACCTTATCAATCAAGCTATGGGCCAAAGAAAGTCTCTTGAGAGAATCTAGACTCTGTCCATGGAGTTGGTGCGTGGTATCAGCAGTGGATTCATGGATGTTCAAGATCATCAGCAATGTCAATATAGTGGAGTAGTCAATGGGACCATGACCACTTGGATTGTGTATTGTATTCATTAAATCCCTTATATCTGCCATGAGTTGTTTTCTCACAAGAACGGGACAGAATGCTTCCCATTTCTGGATGAAAGCATCTGCTTGCTGACAGTAATGTGTTGACTGATAAGACAGACACTGTCTGATCATCTCGCGATCATCCGAAGAAACTCTCGCTAGAGAAAATTCCCTATTGGGAGAGGGTTCGGCCAAAAAAAGGCGGAAGCAACTTTCCGCAAACACACCTGAAAGATTGAGCGCTTTCTGACATTCTTGTTCAACAGTCAAAACAAAATGGACGCCAGTCGTTGAGCCCGCAAAGCGACCGACGTCATTTTCATCATGAACCAATCGACCCATATGCTTGATAACATATGTTGGGTCGTCAGTTGGGCGTCTCTCGGCTCGAACTGGCACTGACGGCTCGACTAAACTTGTGGTTGTTTCTGGATTAAGTGGAAGCCTGAGCTGTTCTTGACGGGATAGCTCCTGTCGAAGAGTTGCGCTTCGGTCTTGCTCTGCCTTGAGCTTTTGTTGGCATCTCGTCAACTCAGCCTGAAGCTGCTCTAGTCGATGTTCATCCGAGGTGAATCTAGGGGACAGTTAGATATTTCCATAGATAGAGATAGGTCAGCAAACGATCACGCACCCTCGCACTTTCGTCTGTCTTCTGAGTGTAGCAGAAACTTCACAAACTAGTCTGGCCTTCTCACAACCCCGACACTGGGCAAATGTGTTAATTTATTTCGAGGTAAATATAGGGATAGAAATTCATACCGATGGAAAAGCCCCGTCACATTTGATTTTCTTTCTACATTGGCTCAGTCTTTAGCAACTGACTGCTCGAAAAATATGAGTATATTGTACCTCCTACAACGATCACTGAAGGCCAATTAGTACTCATTTAGATCGATATTGATGAATCACATACCAAGCTTGGCCGATTCGGTGGGAAATTTCCGCTGAACCAGGCGAATTGGGTTGGCCCTCCATATATGGGCATCTAACTCACACAGGTTCCCAGATGATCAACAAGGCCGGCAGTTGCAAACAAGCTTTAGCTG